CAGCAACAGGGCTTGTATTAGCCTTGGGTAGAGTGTGAATGACGACAGCGCAATGGCCTTCGCCTTCCAGCAGATAAAGACTGGATTTGTGTTTCCTGTGCTTTCCATGAGTCTCTTTGAGCTGTAAAAATTTAGAGAGGAACATGTATTAATTTATCCATTTAGGGGAGATAACTGCTTGAGACTGCAGGGACACTGTTAGTCTTCTCTAGGGCTTGTGAGAGGAGCGTTGCTGCAGCATCAGCTGTATGCTGGGTAAAGCCAGGGTGAGACAGTTTTATTTTCAGCTTCTCTAGTGGAGTAGGAGTTGATTTAGACTTAAACTCAAGACCAGAACCCCAGCTGGTCTTTTTCAGCAGGCTGCATTAACATCATCTGAGAGTTTTGGGAAAGGGACAGACAGGAATTTCCCTGTTGCTGTTTTTGAGCCTAGCTTTAGGCTTTCTGTTTGTTCCCTTTTCTTTGAGAGCTGTAAGGGATGATGTACAGGAAACCCAAGATATGTGGCATTGAACTTCTATTTCTTTTTAAAAGCTTTATCAGTTTTAAGGATGGTTATTTCAATAGCAGTGTTCTTTCCCAGAGGGGAAAGTGTAGTAGAAAATCCTAAGTATTAGAGCAGATTTGATGTTGCTCAGAGCTTCCCCCTGTTGAACACCTTCCCTTAAATGAAGATCATGTCTTTAAAACTGCTCATTTAAATGCAAGTCCTACTGCCCTTAATAGGAGGGTCATGTTTATCCAAAGACTGGCTGGAGTGATGGGTGTGAGTGAAAGCTGCTGCAAGGGCCAGTGTCAGTGATACCCTTTACTGATCAACAGAGAGCCCCACTAATTTGTAAGTTTTAGATGCCAAGGGACTCCTTTTCTGCTGTGAAGCTCTAACAAGCATCTCTAATCTCTTCCCATGGGTGTTGGCATTGTATTTGAGTATTACAGGATTAAGTAAATCGTGTGCCCAGGGACTTCTGTGCAGAGGGCTGGTAATTTCTGCAAGGCTGTATCTCACCAGCAGAGCCTCCAGCAGCCAGGGATACTGAATCCAAGGAAATGGTGCTCCATATAGACAGTTGACCCAGAGCTCTGGTAGACAGGAGGAGCCACAGAGCACAGTGGGAGTTTGGGTTGGTGAAAGGTCACAGGTTACTGCCCTTAAGACTTGCTTGTGGGGAAGTGGGATGACAGTGATGTTAGCTGAGATGGACACGCTGGCTCTCACAGTTTCCCTGGGATGAGTTTCTGGGAGGAAGTTGTGTTTCTCAACATTTACTGCTGAGTATTTCCCCTGGTGAGGTGCCTGTTGATGGGTCACCCCAGCCCTGGGTCACAGAGCTGCTGCAGGGTGTTTTCAGAGGGCTTTCACTGAAGGGCACCCTGAGGCAGAGCCGTGCTGGCCAGAGGAAGGTGAGTGGCTCTCAGGAGATCCTGGAGCCAAGGAATGTGTGTGCTATCCAACATCAGCATATTAGACCTCTTTCATTGGCAGGTCCAAAGAAAACCCTCAAACCCAGACAGTCCAAGGTGGGTGTTTGATCCTCCATCAGAACAGAACAGGACACATCCTCAGTCATGGCACAAGAAGAATTCCAACTTGCTCTGTGTCCCAGGATGGAGTTCAGAATATGGAAAGGCAAAGCCGGATTAAAACAGGAACCACAAAGACAAGAGTCAGAGCTGGTGTGTCCCTCCAGCCGTTGCTTCTTGTGTTTGTTCTCCAGGGTGGAGTTCTGTAACTTTACTGCTGAATTGAAGGGTATTTAGCAATATTTAACAATGTTGGCTTGGTCAGGATAGATCGTATTGAGGCTTTGTGTCATATTCTGACTCAAAATGAGTTGTTTAGGGTTGGAGTGAATGTTGGAATATATGCTGTCAGTGTGGTGATTTATAGAGCCACAAAGTGGAACTGCCAGCTCCATGAAAGCAGATCCAGCTTGGTAAGAAATGTGGTAAGAAACACAGCTTCCAGACTCCCAGATTTAACAGTAATACCAATAATTCGTAGCAGAGTCACTGCTACATGGCACATGGCATCCTGCATGGTTTAACCCCAGCCAGCAACTGCTCCCTCACGGGGATGGGAGGAGTGGCAGAACAGGTAAATCCCATGGCTTGAGACAAGAACAGTTTATTAATTGAAATAAAATATTTTAATAGTAATAATAGTAATAGTATAATTGTAACTCAAAGGGAGACAACGAAAAAAAGAGAGAAAGCGAGCACTGTATCAGCTATGAGGGAGAAAATAAATAAAAGCAAATTTAAAAAATTAAATACATAAAAACTCTATCCCAGCACACATAGCAGCATTAGTCCACTGTTGTCTGGTCTCAGAGAGAGCAAATAAGTTGCATGGAATTCCACTATTTAAATATTTTAGGCACTGTGCCCTCTGACAGGAACCCCGCTTGTGTTCAAGGATCTGCTCTCAGAGCAGAAACAAATCCTTACAGAAACAGATCTGTTCTGGGAAAGCTTGTTTATCTGGTTCAGAATGAAACTGGACCTGGGAAAACAGCACCAAGATAGCCAGTAGTCAGTTCTGCCACCTTGGTCATAAGTTTTTCCTTCAGCCCACATCTCTGTTTTCCATGTGCCTTGGAAGCAGTAGGCTCTTGTTGGTCATCAGGTGGGTACTGCTTTTTGTAGTTTCACATAATTTTGGGAAGGTTCCACTTTTATTCTCAAGGATAATTCAACCGAATCTCAAAATCTTACTTTTTTTTTTTTTAAGGAAGGGATTTTTGTTTTCTGGCCAGCTGCATTTATATGTTCAGAAATGCAAGCCCTTTGCCTTGTTTAAATAAGAGTTAATGAAAACCTTCAAATGGCTTGGCAGCCATACAGTCTATGTCTTGGATACAATAGGCAGCTTGTGTGCAGTCAGAAGTTAATGGACATCTGGGGCAGTTTCTAGGTTGCTGTCAGACAGAAAGCCATTTCTGGACATTTCGGTCTTATAGGAAAGGTTTAAATTAAAATTGGGGTTTTTTTCTCCCCCTTCAATAACTTTCCCCTTAAACAGAGTCTTTGTTTTATTCTGTTCTCATTTATTGCTATTCTTCCTCTGCTTTCCTTTTCCAGGACTTTTTCCAGCAAGCTAGAGGAGCACAGTTGAAAACAAGCTCAAGACATTGCTAAACCACATGTAATTTAAAGAGGAAATCAGTATGTTGTTGAATAAATGAGAGTAGATAAGGTCCTACTTGGGAACTAAAGAGCTCCAAACTTCTAGAGGGCATCTCCTGCCCCAGGCAGAGTAGCTACTAGGGGAGCTTATCACGTTAGAGATGCTGAAATGTTTTGATGATGAGCCAGAAATGGGTGCTCTTTGAATGTTATCATCCTTTCTGGTGCCAGAGACCTGCTCACTGGAGGAAAACACTGAAATAGTTTGAATGTGAGGCTGGAGTTTTGTTTGGTTTTGATCTTGTGTTTGAATTGCTGTGTAATTGCCTCTGTGTTGTTGATTTGTGGCTGAAGTTTCCACTAGGTCTGGATAAACCTGTTTAGGTAATTGGGACTGTTTTTATTCCCCTGGCCCACACTGGGTGCCTGTGGGCCTCCAAAAAAAAAAGCCATTTCTTGTCTGGAGAGGCACCAAGTGCGGCAAAGGGCTCAGTTCAGATGTGAATCCGATGGATTTGTGCCAGCCTTCACCACGGCCAAAGCTGAAGTACTGAGTGGCAAACTTGGCACATTTCAGCCAAACCATCCTGAACCTGCCAAGGCTTTGTAGCTTCATTACACTTGTGAGCTCGTTTGTGTGTTTGTGGACCGGTGCAGTGATGCAGTGATGTCCCTGCTCATGGATCATCACCAAAACTGAAAGCTTGTCAGGAGACTGTGGCTCTTCAGTATTCCTAAAATCAACCATTGCTTTCAGCATTTGGTCCCTATTATTGTGCTGGTAAACAAAAGAAGGACTGGAAATGCTTTTGAAGAATTCATATTCAGATTAGTCAGTCACTTTTAAGGGAAGAGAAGTGGCTCAGGGTAAATGTAACATACTCCTACTGAGGGCTCACACCCAAAAATAATTAAGCACAACTGAATTATTCTGGTGCAGAGATAAGGCATACTTGAACCAGAGATATCTTAGTTTTTATCATCTGCTTGCTAATGGTAGTACAACAAAGTAATTTTACATTTCCTGCAAGTAAGTATTTATCTACCACATTTAAGATGACACATCAGATGGCAAAATGCAAGTTGTGAATTTCCAGTAGGTTTGATTTAGACCAAGTTCCCCTTCACCATGCTGAAAGTTCTATTTCAGTTTGAACGTGTGTAACTCTGTGTTTGCAGGTGGTGCATTCAAATCCTTAGGTACGAGTGCATATGTGAATCATGCTGTTCAAGGTCACAGATGGAAAGAATTGCTTGCAGTGTTTCCAAGAAAACCGATATTCCTACCTGCATGTGGAGTGCATTCCTTTCACCTTTGTTTAGAATGGGGAAGTAATTATAGCTGGAAGTACATGAGTAAGAAGGACAAAGTTATAGTCATAAATAGAGGGGGTTTTCCCAGATCAGCACACAGTTGGTCTAAATCTGATCATTTTCTCCAGTGCTGGACATTCTTGCTGGATGAGTTCTCAAGTGGAGGATTTTGCCTTGAGAGCTTTGTTTAGCAGTTGCGCTCCAGGCAATGCACTCCTGGGAATGCCTGAGAAATGTCGTGGTATCAGCATCTGTAAATGAGCCTCAGCAAAGACAGAAACACAAGGGGTTTGTCTGCTACAAAATATATGTCCAGCTGTGAGATACAGGAGGGCAGAAATCTTATTTTTTTTGATTCTGCCCCATTTTTATAGCTGTACTTAGCCCTTTCACTATAGCAGATTAACCACAAGTGGTTGGGATAGGTATTTTGGGAAAGCTCTTGCTCAGGCCATGTGTTAACTCCATCAGATTCTGGATACGACTTCGTTCAGGCAGATGTTAGAGTTGGCAGCACTTCTGCCTCTGTTAATAAACGTGTCTCATCTCTTCTCCAGGACTCAAATCTGACGATACACACTGACAACCCAGACCTGACACCGTGTTTCCAGAATACCATCCTAGCATGGATCCCCAGTGTTTACCTCTGGAGTGCATTACCCTTCTATCTTCTGTACCTCAAGCGCAACAAAAGAGGGTACATCGTGCTGTCGGTGCTGAGCAGGTTCAAGACGGTAAGATCCCCTTGCAGTGCTCCACGTGCAGTGTAGGGCTCATCAGCATTAGTTCAGAATCCAAGGAAGTGCTGCAGCAGGGTTTAAACAAAAGTCCCCCTGATTTAAGGGGGAACTGAAGAAAAAAAACTATGCACAGAAATTTGAGGAAGGAAATTACTCCTGCAAGTCCATCTTTCTGGTAGAGAGAGGAGTTGATTGCTCTGCAGAAGAGAGTTCAGCCCTGTGTGAGCCAAAACTGTGCTGCTTCACCCTTACTTAAGGTTTAAACCACTGAAGGCTGCAAAACAAAGACCTTAAGATAGGTCTAGTGGGAATTTCATCTCATTGTGAAAGTAAGCACAAGAAGGGGTTTTTTTTCAAGCGCTCTCCCCACCCAATAGCTGTGTGAATTCATCTCCATCTTGTACTTAAGAGGTGCCTGGTGCCTGGTTTATAAGTGGCTGGGTCTAAGGAAAGCAAACAAGTCACTTTTCCATAGGCCATGAGAAAACTGGGCTTACTCCTGGAGAAAAATACCAGGCTTCTGCTTCAGGGCGTGTCTGCCTTTAATCTGGATGCTGCCTGTGTTTCTAATCCAAATGGAATAACAGTAGGGGGAAAAAACCAGGCAGATAGATTAGTCTTTCTACTGGTTGTGATTGCAAATCCCTCATAAAGCAGTTGAGATGTGATCCTTGGTGTGAGTGCAGTGGGACAGTTCGTTTAGGCTGTTACTCTGTTTACACAGCTTTGTCTTGCTGGGAATCTGTGGATCAGGATGGTTTTGTCAGCTCTCCAACTGCCCGTGGAGAGGGGTTCACCAAATGCTCTTTCTGTTTGACTGCTTTCAGCTGTTTGGTGTCCTGCTGTGGTCCGTGAGCTGGGCTGATCTCTTCTACTCCTTCCACGAGCTCCTGCAAAACAGAACCCCTCCACCAGTCTATTTTGTGACCCCACTGGTCGTTGGCATCACTGTGGTTTGTAGCTGTTTGTGTTTATTGTGACCAATATGGAAAACTTTTTCTTAGGCAGATGAAGGATGAAGAGCCCCTTTGCATTCCTTGCCTTCTCCTGACCTTTTTTGACTGAATTATTAGTGCTTGTGTTACGGAGGCAAATTTTGCTGCTGAAAAGGCCACAGTCAGAAATATCTCTCTCAAGTAGACTCAGCTGTGTAAATTAAAATATTTATAATGGAGAGATTGTTCTGCCTCCCTCCTAGCTTTTACCTATTTGTTCAGGCCTGGAGAGAATTTGGATATGACTTTGCCTAAACAGGGGGATACAATAGAGCATGTCTTGTGCATTGTTCAGTATTGTATTGTACTTCTTAAAACTGTATCTATTTTCTGGTGGTTGTTCCTCCATTAAACAAACTAGGTTTGCATTGCCTAGGATGACAAACAGGCTTGTGGCCATTTATGAAAAAATAAAGCAGTAAAATTTGCCTAGTGGGTTTTTAATTTCCTTGGTTAGATTTTTTTTTTTTAAAGAATCTTATTTTCTAGACAGGTCATGATTGTCCATCTGGACTGGAGAAAGGGCAGCTCTTACCTTTGTTTAAAATGTTTGTACCTAACATTTAAATGTTCCTAACCCTACGTGCAAAGTCTGGTTTAAAAGTTGAATTCTGGTGATGAGGCTCTCAAAACAGTAAAACAAATTTCACAGTTATTCGCTGCTTTTCTTAGATAAAGGAGGTTTTACCACTGATCTCTGTGGGGCCTCAGGTCAGAGGGGTCCTGCTGTCGGTGATGGTTGTAAGATCTGCCAGCTGAGAGTGTGAAGAGGGGGAGCAGTGGGACAGGACTGTGCTCACGTGTTCCTGTGTTTACTTTTACAGCTGTTGGCTACCTTGCTTATTCAGTACGAAAGGCTGAGAGGAGTTCAGTCCTCTGGAGTGCTCATTATCTTCTGGTTCTTGTCTGTGCTCTGTGCCGTGGGGCCTTTCCGGTCGAAGATCATGGCTACAACAGCACAGGTAACGCCATCCTTGTCAGCACTTGGGGAGCAGGAAATGTGGCATTAACATCCCTGTGAAGGGGATGAGTCACAGAGTTTGGAGTCAGATCTGAGCCCGGCTTTCACCAGAGAGAAAGAGAAGTTTGGTTGTGTTGCCTTGACTCAGACCTGTGTAACTAGAAGCGAACTGGATTTCTCATGCAATGTCAGAAAGGAGATTTTGCTTAGCCCAGGGCTATACTGGAAACCTGATAGACATGTGAGGGCAGTACCAACCCTGTGTATATGTTAGAACAGACTCTTTTTTTATCTCCTTCCCATCCCCTGCCATGCTTAAATAGGGATGGGTACTAATCCGAGATGGCACGTTTTAATATGTAAAGTTCCTTTTTTGCTTAGGCAGCTTGGCCACATTACACAGCTCCATGGGCTCTCTGCTGTCAGTGCCTGATGTGCTGAGGACAGCATTTTGACTCCACTGTGGCTCTAAATAGAGAACAGAAAGTTGGAGGGAGAGGAAAGAAACCTGGGCTGTTATGATTCCTGTTTGAAAACATAGCAGGTTCTCCCACAGCAAGAGACTTGTTAAGTTTTTCACAGAAACGAATTTCACTAAGTAGGGCGAAGCAGATTGCTTCGGTGGTTAGATCATCAAAGGCTGGGAGAGGAAAAGAGTGCTTGGGAAACATTAAGGTGATTGCTTCTCCTCAGTGAAATCAGGTTGATTCTGTCTGGTGATTTCTTGGTTTTATACTTGCTTTTTTGTAGCTATTAGCAGCATTACCCTGTTAGCAAGGATTCTGCTTTACCAGGCTGTTGTAAATATTCCAGCAGAGATTGAATTAAACTTTTAATGACACTCTGGGTAGAACATCTTCAGATAATAGCTGCAATCTGGTGAGACTATTTCAAACATCACTTAGGGGCAATTTTAATAAGTAAAAATATTGGACTATCAATGTCTAAGTCCTTAATCAACTTGAAATTGTGGGTGCAGAGCCTTATGACAGGTCTGGGTGACATTTCTCCTCTTGCAACTGCTGAGAACCAAATATACTTTCTCTTGCACTTCAGGTTCAAACGTTTTAAGTGAACAATGGCAATGTTCATAATGGCATTAGGGTATGAAAGAGCTGTGTAAAGGACATACCCTCACAGCAAGGAGTTTTAAATAAACTGCAGACTCACGATTAGGAAAGGAAATATCTCCAGAGCAGATGGGACTGTTATTATGCAATGCAGTGGTTTTTGTGCAGCTTCTTCTGAAAGTCTTTAACGCTGACTGCTTGTCAGTGACAGGATATTAGAGTGAAAGGATGTTCTCTGATCTGGGTTGACAATTCCTATGCTTAAGACATGATCTTGCAAGAACCCCCACAGGTAATTTAAAAGGATGTTATGTAGGCCTGATTCCAGAGGGTGTCTGCGTGCAGTGAGGATGTATAAGCACTTTGAACTTGACATAATTTAATGAAAAGCTTGGAGATAAGCATGTTCTTAGGCACTTGACAGAGTATGTGCATACTTTGGTGAGATAATTCCTGCTAGCAACTACTTTGCAGTATTCAACTTTAGAGGAAGAAAGGAATTGCCAAAAGAAGGTGTGAAAAAGTCAAGAGAGTCTCTGTGTGTGTGTGTGTGCTTTGGGTGGGCTGAGAAGTACAGTAAAAACAATCACTTCGTGTTTCTTTTCCCTCTAGAGCCACGTAAATGAAAGGTTCAGGTTTACCACGTTTTACATCTACTTTGCTTTGATAATCGTTGAGTTGATCCTTTCGTGTTTTAAAGAGAAGCCTCCGTTTTTTTCCCCTGTCAATACAGATACTGTAAGTATTTCCCTTTGCTTTATTTAAATTTTATAGATTATATAATGTTCTGAGAGTTCCACTGAGAGTACTTGTCATTGGAAATAGCTTTGGATTGTCATTGAGGTGGCAGTAGTTACTGACCCTCTTGCAAAACACTGGGTATGGAGAGTAATATTGGGGTTGGAAGCTTTTTTCTATTATATGTGCCATCAGAAATGACTGGAAGCTGTGTAGTGAAAAGCAGCTCTCCTGCTTGCTGCTTCACAGCAGTTTAAATTACACTTATGAACATTGAAGTGTAATATTAATTAATTCAAGAGTGGTTTTTACTGAGATGGTGGTCTTGCTTAACATTTATCTAGAGTTAGCAAAGGTTTATGGGGTTTGTCTTAATAAGTGAGTTCTCTATGTGTTGAGAATAGATATGGAAAAACATTATTAGCAGAAGATATTAGTGGTGTCACAGGTTAAATTTCTTCTCCAGTTCATAAAGTGGTCTCTATAATTGGATTTATGTTTGAACCAAGCTGAGAGAGAAGTTGAGTTCATGTCTTAAAATGAACATTTCAGAAACTGTAGAATGACATTTCACTTTATATAAGTGTGATTTAAAGGCAGTATATGGAGCAATTTTTAGAGATAAAAGAAGTTCTATCTGACTTGGGAAATGAAAGAAATCAATTTTATGTCTAGTTAGGACATAGGTATGTACATGTAATATACCACATAATATACCAAAATGGATCAAAATAGACTGTTGTCTTAATAAAAAGTGATGGTGAATGTCTTTATTTATTTTGGATTTTTTTCTCCCATAACTTCATTATAGAATCCATGTCCAGAGTTAAATTCAGGCTTCCTGTCAAGACTGACGTTTTGGTGGTTTACAAGGTGAGCTTCTCTTTTCAAGCTGTTGGACAGCTGACAAGCCCACACTCTACTTGTGATCTGTGTTGCACAGAGTTAGCAGCACAGAGCCTTTCCCTCTGTGAGTAGCTGATGTTGGATGCTCTTTCATCCACAGTGGTTTCAGCACTTCTAGCATTCACCTTTTTAGAAATACAGAGCCAAAACTTCTTCTCTGAAGAGGAGTGGCAACAGCTGTGGCATGACCAAAAAGGGTGCACAGCCTGCCTGTGCTCCCCACGTGCTGGAATATCACCCAAACCAAGATGTAACTCTGTGTTCCACAAGATTAACTATGGCAGCCTTTCACCCATCTGTGGGTGCATTTTGTTTCCTGTTGAGGTTCATGGGTGAATGCTTTCTTATAAGGACATTTTCTGTGCAAGAGGGAAAGTAAACTGGGTTATGTATACAAATGATTACCACCAACTGAGAGTCCTGACAAAAGGTATGTGTATGAAAGGTGCAGATTTGAGGTTGGGCTACTACTCCATGATAAAGAAGTGGAATGGATGTCAGAGGTCATATTAAGGCCCAGTTTTTCCATGGTGGTAGAAAGTGTTGAGATCTTCATTCTTCCATCCATGTAACTTTATTGTCCTGGTAACAGCCCTGTAAGGTTCTTTTAGTGAGAGGGTGAGATCTTTCTGAACTTCCAGAGTATTGAATGTTCAGCTTCCCCGTAGAGATTCTTGGCAACTAGATGTTTGTATCCCTTGACAAAATTCCCCTTAACAGTTGAAGACCTGTAGTTTTCAGAGAAATCTGATTTTGCTTTAACTTCAGTGAGCTCCACTTTTGCATTTTGTTCACCTCTAAGACTTATTCCAGATAGACTTAATTATTTTCACTTCTAAAGCTTCACTGTTTTCATTTAACACCGCAGTTCCATTCAAATGCTTCTGGTAGTTGATTTTTATTGTCCCTTTTTTTCTGAAGTGATGTTTTCAATAAAGTAAGTGTAATCAAAAATGGATCATGTCCTTTCCTTAATTGCAAACATCAATAAAAGGAACAAAGGGAGATGGAGGTGTAATTATCACCCATTCTGTGGAGTATCTTCTTGCTTTTGTTGGCTTAATAGTCCTAGAGTTCTGACAATGCTTTAAGTACTATTACCCAAACTGAATTGGGCTGTTTTTCTCCATATGTGCAGCATGGCAATTCATGGGTACAAAAAGCCTCTGGAAGAAAAAGATTTGTGGTCGCTGAATGAAGATGATACTTCAAAAAATATCGTGCAGCAACTGAGTAAAGAGTGGGACAGAGAAAAAGCAGAGTGCAAACAGTAAGTATAGGAAGAGGCCTGCAAACAGAGATTATCTGAGTCGTTTCAACATCCTCATCCATGAAAATGAACCAAGTAAAAATGCATCCACCTCTTCAACCTTTTCTGTTCTTCATTCACATTAACAGTAAAATTTGCTTATTTTAATATGTCTAGGCAGAGGCAAACAGGAGCCCTGGAGGGCCTGTGTGCCACCAACACACTTTGTAATGAGCTGCTTAAAATCTCCATGGGCAGGTAGTGCCACTTCCCATGTGGAGAAAGGCTGAAGATGTGTGAGGGGAAGGGATTGAGTTGGTTGGGTTGTAGGAAAATGAACAGCTCTCATCACCGAGGTGGTAGATATGAAACTGCACAGTTGCATCCCTCCTAGGCATGCTGGAGCACAACTTTTATACCCATAAACCAAAACTCGTCATCGTCTCCATCATGGGTTTTCTGACCTGACAGTATTTTTAGCCTTGAGGCTCTTAGCAGTGAGCAACTCTTCACTTCCCAGCAGTAAAGAAGGGAAACTTGAAACCTGTGAAAGGCAGGAGGAAAGAGGTACCCCATTTTATTGCTGAGACTCTACTCCTGTTGCTTAGAAAATTAACAGCAAAATTGTCATAGTCTCTGATGGAAATGGGATGAGGGTCAGAACTTGCCTACAGTTTCATCCCTGGTGGAGAAGAAGGATATCCTTCTTATTTGCATGTCCTGTCCTAACCTAATCTTAAGAAATTATCTATTGTGCAACTGTATTTCCTTCTCCCACTGGTTAGTGTCCAAAATGTTTCCAAACAAATAGATGTGATAATAGTGTGTTTCAAATGAAAAATGTCAATAAGGAGGAGGCCTGCACTTCCCTTTCCTTTCATTGTGGAGGTTTCATCTCCATGTCGAGGCTTTCCTCTGTTCTCTTCTGTGCATATCCTTGCCAAATTGGAAAGACCCTATTATGTGATAATATTGGGAGAGAGTTGTAAGCTTCTTGGCAAAGCTAAACACGATGGTGGAGTGCTCCACTTTGCAGCTAAAATTTGAAAGGTTTCCAGCACTAACACCAGCAGTTGTCCACGAGTGCTCTGTGTGGATGTGTTGTGGTTCTTTTTTCTTCTTCTTCTTTTTTTTTTTTTTTTTCATTTTCTTAATGTCTTTATTTTTATGGTGTGGAATAATGTGCATTGTCTGGGTTCTGGTCTTTTTTGGCACAGACATAAATCTCACTCCCCCAGGCTGTTTTATAGTAAGAGCACAGCCGTTGTGCAGGAGTGCCTGGGGTCCAGGAAAACTTTTGCTAGGAAACCAGAAACCCTGCCTGGAGTTTTGTCATGGGATTCATTGCATTTTGGAAATCATCCATACAAACTGGGGCCAGTTGGCAATGGATTTAACCATAAATTATGGCTTGTATTTAGCTCAGGTAAAATTATGTGGCAATTATATTAATGATTCTAAGATGGGGAAAAGGGCAAAAACAAAGCAAATCACTGCACTCCAGATTGCTGGGTTTCACAGAACTCTAAAAGCTCTGTTTATTCTTCTGTTATAAGTAAGTATTCTCTATTACTTCATGTCAAATAACATTAGTGGTATACTTGCTTGGGAGCCATTGTAAATACATTTTTTTTTGCCTTTTAACTCTCATTAAATCCTCTCTGAGCAAACTTTTATGACATTAGAAATGTCATGTCAAGTTGTACACATGTTGAAAGTGTCACGAAAAGTATTTGCAGTGTACATAGTAGTAATTTATTTTCAAAAACTTAATCAGTTGCAACTCTGGCATAGCTAAAGCTTTAAACTTGTTTTATGGTAATGATTATCACATTTCTGTTGTTCCATAACCTCTTTTTACATTTTGCTTCACAGCTGTCTTGTGAATTACTGGTAAATAATTGCTAAAAATTCATTTGCTTCTAATGAGTTGCAGGAGAGCCCAGCATGGATTTAAGTTGTTATTATAGATAATAAAGCACGCAAAGGGTATTCTTCCTTTGCTTTTGCTCTCTTTGCTTGCATGGCTGAAGTCTCTGCTCGCTCACTTTGCTGGTAAGTGCAGTTTCTTCTGAAAAAGTCAGAGCTGTGCTGGATGGAGAAGAGAGAGCTTGAATGACTTTCCCTCATTTTTCATCAGCTTCTGGTTTTAGAGACTCTCCTTATGAAGAGATATTGGAGATGCAGGGCCTTGTCAGCACCACTGAGAAAGCTGCATGTTTTCCCATGAGACAATCAGTACCTGTTATCTGCCCTGCTATAAATAATGGAAACCAGGCACATGCTCTTTGCTTTGATGAAAAACTGGGTGTGAGCAGTCCCACACACTCTGACAACCCAACCTCACTGAACTACGTGTAGTAAACACTGGAGGTGCATTTTCTCCCTTTGGGACTTTTAGCTGCAAAAGAACCATTGCCTTGCTGTTAGCTCAGTGTAATAAACATCTTTAATAGCACAAAGCCAGGGGCAAGTAGTCTTGTTTCTTCAAATCCTTCAATGAGTTTAACAGGCTGGTTGCCAGAAAAACAAGGCTTTGCTCATAAACTCTCCAGGTTTGATCTGGAAAGACAAAGACAACACTGTTTGTTCTTGTCTGGGGGTGGGGGGGAAATAAATTGTCTGGTTTAGGTTCTCCTGCTTCCCTCAAACTTTATTGCAGAGAAGTTGGGATTTGCAAATGCCTTTGTGTGAAAGGATGTGAACAAGTTTTTATACCTGTGGACTGTTAGCCACGCTGATCATATTGAATGCTCACAGGCTGTTGGAATTATTTGACTCTGCAGCCAGCCAGCTCCAAAAAATCTGCAGTCTTTATGAAAAATCATAAATCCAACCTCACTGGGTAGTACTTACAAGTTATTTTTCAAATGCCTTCTGGTAAGCCTTCATTGCTTCTAGGGTCTTTCTTCCATCTGTTTCTTCTTGTAAAGCCTATGTGCCCCAGACTAATTTCCTTCTCTTCTGCTCCACCTGGACTTAACTTTCCTGTCTGACATTCAGGAAATTGTTCTCTGGTCCCCAGGAAACAACAGCAATTTGATATTTGCTGATAGAAAAGCTGACAGGCTGATCTTTGAGAGCAATTCATGGAGGAAATAATTTCCCAGAGCACCCCTTCTTTATTGATGGGCAACAGAAGTCAAGCAGCTAAAGCCCAGAGGTGCTTCTAGAAAACCCTCCTTGAACCCTGGAGAGCAGAGTGGGCCTCTTGGGTCTATTTTTGTCATCAGTCAGTCAGAGTATGCAGAAGAGGTCACTTTTGTTAGCTTATTTGACCGCTGGAGAAAGAGAGGCAAAAAGTAAGAAAGAAATCATAGAATTCTAGAATTGTTAGGGTTGGGAAAAATCTCTACAATTATTTGGTGCAATATTTAATGAAATGGATGCAGCCAAACAGAGTTCAAATGCTTAAATTGTCAACTGAGTAAAATTTAGGCACCTAAACCCAAGGTTTCTCTCCTGGAAGAACCTCAGACAGTGTGGTCCAGATCTTGGAGATGTCTCAGCTTTGGAGGTTTGTACTTGATTTCAAGTTTCCAGGAATGCAAAACTCTGTATTTAGAGAGGGCTGTGCCTGGTTCAGTGCCTGTCTCCCCAGGGGATTCAGACTGCTCCTTCGTGTGATCAGAGAAGGTTACAGGTTTATACAGACACTAATTGATTAACAATTACAGCAAATACAGGAGGAGTGTGGAGGGGTGCCTTGTGTGGTGTGTACATAGCAACAGTTAGAGGATTCCTGTACAAGAAACTGGGGAACCAAGGTCAATTCTGTCCTCTGCCTAAGGGAGTTGAGACTTCATCTCCTCCTCCTATGGGCCACGTTCTCATCCCATGATGATTGACTTTCTGGCCTGGGGAGTGAACCTCACAAGTCCTGCAGAGAAAGAAAAGAAAACAAGCCTTGATTACACGACAGAGGCCGATCCCCCTTGATCTCCTTGGAAGTCTCGCTGTTGGTCAGTAGCAGAGCAAAGAAGGGAGCAGACTTTGGGGTGTTACTGCAGTGCTGTGCACAGAGGGCAGTGACATTCTCACTGTCGGGTGTCTCCAGTTGCCTGTTTCGTTTCCCCAGGAAAGAAGAAGATGTGACGTACATGAAGAAATCGAACCATGTGCTGAATCATGTTGGGGATGGTCCAGAGGAAGCAGAAGTTCTGATCAGAGGCAAAAAGCACAATAGGAAACCTTCCTTTCTCAAAGCTTTGTTGAGGACCTTCGGGCCATACTTCTTAATTGGCTCCTTCTTCAAGCTGATACAAGACCTGCTTTCTTTCGTCAACCCCCAGCTGTTAAGGTTGGTTTACTCTGTGAGTAGTTTCTATGTGCAGTCCCTGTGGAGGCTTGGCTTTGGCATGGGGTATTTGTTTTTGAAATGCACAGCTACTTTCCCTCACAGTGCTGGAGTGTGTGCTCCCTCACCTTCCCAATGCCCTAAGACAGGAGTTCTTCACTGTGGACTCAGCTGTGAATTGGACAAGCCTCACTGAAATGCAAGATTTATAAATTGCCCATCACCAACAGACAGCTTTGAATTACAGATTACCTGTTGTTGCTCCATGCAGCAGTGCAAAGCAATTTCTCCCCATTTCTAAAGGATAATTTATGAAATCAAAGCCAAGCACTGCTGGCTGGGTCCAGTGGTCTCTGTACATCTGATACCCACGAGCTGATGGTGGTTGCAGCTGTGGCGTGACTTGATGTACAGATGAAGTGTGATGCTCAAGTATGTGGTGCTTTGGCTGTGCTGCTGTCATCTGGGAAAGGTTTTGGAACATTTAGATGAGTTCTTAGTTGTGCACAGCAGGAAGAATGTGTGAGGCACAGCTACAGTGAATTTCCATGTGAAAGAAAATTCTGGTTCTATTAAAAAGAACAACTGAGAGGTCGTGACAGAAGTGGTGTGTCCTCAAATTCTCCATGTATAAGGAACACTACCTCCCATCTCCAGCAGGACTGGTTGCTCAGCTTGATCCATAAAGGAATTGGCATGATCCCCACATTTTTTCTCATCATTCTTAATGTGAGAATTTCCCCAGACAATCATTAACTTAGCAGAAAGTAACAGTGCAAATACCAGTGTTTTTATCAAACAATTATTAATGGAAAAGCACATAGTCCTGTTAATGCATGAGAGAGGAGTGGAGCTTGGATGGAGGCCACAGGTAGATGTAGGGAAGGGGAGAAGAGAAATCTCCTGTCTGAGTGTCTCTTAAAATAACCAGTGTTCTGAGATCATGTTGTTCTGTGGGTGGTTTGTGACATACCCAGAAATTTGCTAAAAAGAGGGTCTGACCCAGTATGGTGACATTTAATAGCTCACAGTTTGTCTTCTTCCAGAGACCTTAGTGAAGAGGAGGCAGCTGGCTTCCTTCTGAGAACACATTAAGTATAAACTATTCTGGGAATTTCTCAAATTTGCATAAATTTCTGGATATGTTGTCAGTGATATCTCAAGACAGATTATGGGGAATTTCTTCTCAAGTCTAAATTCCTGCAGTCTGGAAAAATTCCCTCCTAATGGTAGGAGAGAGAAGATGAAAAAGCCATGGCTGGATGGCAGGTTGCATGTAAGATAGTTTCATGTCTTAAAAAAATTGATGAGTCCCATACTGGGGCTTCAAGGAAGATATTTTCCTGAAGCTGTCCACTGACTGGAGTGGTACAGAAGGAAAATCTCTCCGGACTGGAAGAAGATGTAACAATCCCATTATTCTACCACAAGGCTTTGGGGCTTTATTTGTAGTTTCCAGGTCTGCTTTTTCCCTGCTGGTTATTTGAACCGTGGAGGTAAATCTCTGTTCCTCCCATATTTTGACAATTCAATAGTCTGGTTAGTAGGCTGAAATCACAAGTGTGATTTTTGGCATTGCCATATCTTGCCCTGCTTGTTTGCTGTATGCCAGTGTGCAGGTCAGCAGCGAGAGCAGCTGTGAGGAGTAAGAAATGGCTTGTCAATAAAAGATGCTACAGCCAGTTTAATGGGACTACCATTTTACAGGGAAAAAAAAAAGTAGGAGCGAAGAACTCTTTATGCATCCATCCAGAAGGATGTCTTTTAATCTAGCTTTTTTTTTGTGGGAAAACACCCCAGGCAGAAGCACTCAGGCTGGTTGAAGAGGATTTGGGTAAGAAGCTGGTTTTGCCTGCTCTGCTGCACTGCCCTACTCTGTCCTATCATTCACCTCCTGCCCTGGGGGGCTGCCTGACAGAGCTCAGACAGTGAGTCGAGTGTTTAAACTCTGGATCTCAGGGGGAACCAAGAGTTTCTCCTCATATTTCATTTTCAGGCTCATTTGCAAATGGACTTTCTCACTGGCAGAGCTTAAGGTTTTGCTGCTGGATCTTTGCAATGTTGTTTGACTGAAGTCATAACTCAGCTTGTGTCCTGCAGAGCTGTTTGCTTTTTGTGGTTAGAGAGAGGATGTGGCAGGATGCTGTAGTTGGGAGAAGCTGTGTTATGTCCCATTAAACTTGCTGCCTGGTTTTTTAATTTCTGTTTCTTTTTCCTTTTCCTTCCCCAACCTACTGAAAAACAGTGTATTAATTGGCTTCATCAAGAACAAAGATGCCCCAGCCTGGTGGGGATTTCTGATTACAGCTTTGATGTTTGTCTGTGCTGTGCTGCAGACACTCATACTTCACCAGCACTTCCAGTACTGCTTTGTTACTGGGATGAGGCTGAGGACTGGGATCACTGGAGTGATATACCGAAAGGTAAGACTGGAAGCATTTCATGTGCTGAAACACCAGTGTATAGCCAAGCAAGTGGCCTGAGTTCTCACACAGTTAGGGACGATCAGGCATGTTGAAGAAGAACAGCCTCCTGGAATGTAAAACATTGGTGTTTTGGTAAGTTTTTAGGAGTACCTCTGTTGTACTTTATAGAATTTTCTAGCGATCAGCACCTTAATGTGGGTGTACTGGTAGGTCACCAGAAATACCACAGAAATACCACTGGTTCACTTTAAATGCTGAAAGAGGAGGGATTTAGATTAAATGTAAGGAAGAGATTCTACCCTGAGAGGGTGGGGAGGCCCTGGCACAGGTTGCCCAGAGAAGTTGTGGCTGCCCCATCCCTGGAAGCGTCCAAGGCCAGGTTGGATGGGGCTCGGAGCAACCTGGGATAGTGGAAGGTGTCCCTGCCCACAGCAGGGGGTTGGAGCTAGATTATCTTTAAGGTCCCTTCCAACACAAGCCATTCTATGATATGGAAGATGGATCCAGGAGAATAGCAGGTTTGTGCTATGAGTATATTCGGTCCTGCTAGGTTTTCTTTGGAACTCTACATACTGCTTGAAATAGGGATGCTCAGAAGCAAACCATTTAATGAAGCCTTGAATCGATGTAGAGTAGGAGAGTGTCTTGTTTTGCTGATAATTGAGGATTTCTTCTCCATGTTTCTCTGTGTCCATCAAGACTGTGAACCCACTGAACCTCTCTTCCTCCTCAGTCCTTAGCCATCACAAACTCAGCGAAGCGCTCGTCTACTGTTGGAGAAATTGTCAACTTGATGTCCGTGGATGCCCAACGTTTCATGGACCTGATGACTTTCCTGAACATGTTGTGGTCTGCACCACTCCAGATATTTCTGGCTTTGTATTTCCTCTGGCAGGTACGGACATTGTCACCCTTTTTTCACAATTCATCTAAATTATGTGGAAGCTGCACACCCTCAGTTAGTGTCTTAATCATTTTGTTCAGCTGGTAGGAAGATAGGGCATTTGAAGCAGGAGATGACCTTTATGTCCCCTTTGGCCCTACAGTGTTTTGATGGGATCTATCTTGGACTCATCGGTGTTCCCAGTAGTTGATACAAATGAGAGCTTGAGGGAAGTGGTCTAGAGACTAAACCAAACAAAAAACCTGGACACAGGAAGTGTAAACCATGTGTAAAGATTATATCCTGCTGTATAAAGTTTTGTGTGAGTCAAAGTGAAACAAATTTCACCTGGAATAACCATAATTTTTCCTTTGACACTGTTATAGATTTATTCCAGGTTCTCTTTGAGCACTGGCTTTCAGCCTTAAAATGTTTCTGTGCAATTAATCTCTTTTACTGCATAAAACAGCAGCAACAACTTAACTATATTGATTTAGACTCGAAAGCCATGAAGTTGCAGCAGCTTTATGAGTTACTGCTCCACTGGAAGCTGAGCTCTAGCAGGCAGCAGTTTGTATGCATCTACTCACACTGGGGGTACTGGGTTAATTCAGTAATTACAGTTCCCTTGGTCAGAGAGAAGTCAGGGGAAAAAATTCCTTCTCTATGGCTTATTTCTTCCCTTTTTACATTTGCTTTCTATTTGCATTGGTTCAAAATTATCCCACTCACCCTACTGGGAGCCACTTAGCAGGTAAATCACAGAGCACTCTGTTATCACCAATACCAGCATAATAATAATTCAAAGTGAATTTTGCTGTCACCTCTTCCCAGTTGTTGTGTGGAATCAGAACACTTCCTTGGGAGAAGTTCAGCTTGTCTCTGTAATTTCTGTTTCTATAACCTACTGTTGTTTTAATGCTGACCATAGGGAACAGCAGCACTTGGGTACAACAATAACAACAACAACTTACCTTTTCTCTTTAAATCCAAGGCTTTAGGACCTTCTGTGCTGGCTGGAGTTGCTGTGATGGTCTTGCTTATCCCATTTAACTCTGCAATAGCAATAAAAACCAGAGCATTCCAGGTAAGGTACCAGCAGAAAAGGTAATGTTGTCTGAATTGGCAGCTGTGCTATGAGAAATGAAGGTATCAGAGGTTGTTAATAAGATGCCATTTGCACCACTTTACTTATGAGTAAGATTGTACTGATATATTTAATAACTGTATCCTCTTAGATGGTTTTTCCATAGTAAATTGAATGCTGTTTAGGGGAAAGGTGTGGCATTGAGCCAGTGGATCTTCATACTCCTGGAGCGGCTTTTGGGATTAGCAAGAGATTTCCTTGTCTCCATATCCCTTCACCTGGTATCTGCCTCTAGGAGTATCTGGAGAAAGGCACTGAAACAAATGCTGTTCTTTAAGCTGCAAATTAATGTTTTCAGAGATGGGAGTGAAACCTGGCAGCTTGGGTTTTATGCTAATAGCCAGTGTTGATATTCACTGCTACTGAGCTGGGCCAAATTTCATCTATTAGCTTAAGGTAAAAGGATCTTTTATGCCTTTCTTTGTAGTCGTAGTTGTCTCTAGTCAAGGATGTCTGAAAAAATACCAATATAACAGTGCCCTCTGGCTTTGTGCTAGAAAAAAATGTAATAAATGGCTTGTGCTGTGCAGCCTGTCAGTGACTGTTTGGAAGACTTTTAAAAAAGACCAAAATAACCAAAAAATCAAACTATTGATGTGAAAAAGGTAAGAGTTGGAAAATGAATATAAATTATGGCATGTAAGCACAGCCTTAGTAACAGAGGGGTATTATTATATGCTTAAAGAAACATACAGACTTACCATTGAATCTCTTGATGCTGACATCAGGAGATTAACATTCCTTTTCTCCCTTGCACACTATGAGATGCTCAGATCTGCATGTTTTTCTGTGCCTGTGTGTATGAATTTTGTCTATACAGTTGAGCAGGAATTTTATTTTTTTAAGAGCTGACTGAAGCACTGTGTTCTAATATATAGGAAGAAAAAAACTAGAAGCAGCCACAGTTTCCAATGGATGCCATAAAAAAATACATCTGTGCACATCAGGAAAAAAAGAAATCTGAAGAAATCAAAGGAAGTAGTAGAGTAGTATTTTTGTGAAGTGCCCGAACCTTAAGATGGTTTAAAAACGTTGCCCCTCACAGTGAAGACGAGTGGAAAGCTTTTGTACCCTGCTTTCCAGGCAGCTTCTTTGATTTCTACTTTCCTTGGCAGTATTGACTCGCACAAGAAGCTTACTGATAACAGTCTGGCTTTCTGTGATTACCTTTTGCATCCTCTTTAGAAGCAGCCCAAGGACCAGCAGAGCTGTGAGACATATGTTGAAAGCTCTCTTTGTGGTCCTTGCTGTGACACTCTTGTCTCTCGTGTTTACCAATGACCCAGGTGGAACAAATGCGCTATAAAGACTCCCGCATTAAATTAATGAACGAGATCCTGGGCGGCATCAAGGTGCTGAAGCTCTACGCTTGGGAGCCATCCTTTTCAGAAAAGGTCCTGGAGATACGAAAGAACGAGCTGCGGGTTTTGAAAAAATCTGCTTATCTCAATTCTTTGTCCACCTTCACCTGGATCAGCGCCCCGTTCCTGGTAAGTTGAATTTGCATGGCTCTCTGAGCTGGGCAAGTGCATCCTTGAAGGATAAGTGTGAGGCTTTTCTGCCTGATAAATGTACGTAGGAATAAAATGTAAATACTTTTTCGAAAAAATTATCCGCATGCTTTGAACCAGAGTCCGCTGTTCTCGAGAGCCTTTTTGTTAATCGGTATTAAAGTATTTTGTGATAGAGCCTGCCAGTGGAAGCTGGGAATAGCTGTCTCGGGAGAATTTCCCACCACTTCAAAGTACTTCCCAAAACAAATTGAAAGTAGAATCTGAATCCTCAGAGATATCTCTGTGAATAGCAAAAATAGCAAAGGAACTTTTAATTGAGTCAGTCAGGACAATGTCTGTCTTTAGCTCTCATTTCTACCTTCGTGTTACTGGGCTCTCCTTGTTTTAGTGGGAGAGGGAGTTGTCAAATTATTCTACAACATAAAAAAGGGATTGATTTAATGTAAAAGCTAAAGCCCAAATGATACGATGCAAATTCTGAAATGCTTTTTCCTCAATTTTGTCTTTCCCTCTATTTTCCACTTCATTGCACTTTGATCCCTTTTGCAGCAAAGGTTTTGGTGAATAAAACCATTTAGGTAAGTCCTTGATCAAAAATATTCATAGCCAACTGTTCTCAAGATCAAAGACCTGACCCTGCAGAAATGTCCTGAACAGCCTTGAGACCCTGCCCCTTTCATGGTTCCATAAAATTAATGCACTTCCTTCAATACACATTCCAGTTCCTGCTCACCATTAGTTTGATGCATGGGATGGTCCTTCCACAGTGGAAGGTCCCTGTCATACAGCAAACCGGCAAATAACGTGGATTTTACTCCCTTTTCCATTGATTAGTGGAGGTTGTTTGCTTAGCCTGCTGTTTACAATGGGAAATTTTGGTTGGGTGGAGTGTGAAAAGCAGCCAAACCACAGTCTGATAACAGCTTTTCTTTTTATTTGCCCGAGTTCTGTAGTTCACCTCATGAACCTCTAAGTTTGACTGAACACAGCCATCAGTAATCTGGAAGTTATTTTACACCGCGTGCCCTTTTTTGTACCAACTTGTCCAAAATGACTTGTCATTCTTAAAGTGTCTTGAAAAGGTCAGGAACAAGGAATTTTTGTGGTTGATACTTTTATTTCCAAGATGCCCATCAGGCCTGAGTGCTTTTTAAAATGTCAGAATATAACCCACGTCTCACAGTAAAGTCCCTTTCTGGCTTTCAGGTAGCACTGACGACGTTTGCCGTGTATGTCTCAGTGGATGAGAAGAATATCCTGGATGCAGAAAAGGCTTTTGTCTCCCTCTCCTTGTTCAATATCCTGAAGTTTCCCCTCAACATGCTTCCACAAGTCATTAGCAATATTGCGCAGGTAAGGAGGGTCTGGTGCGTGGATTGTCCTGAACAACTCCAACAGAAGGAACCCCACGTGCCCTTGATTTCTGGAATGCAGAGATCCCTGGCATCTGCCTGTCAGCTGGTTTTCTTTTTAATAGCCTTTTTAATACCCTTTCTCTACTGCTGCCCTTTCTTGGAAAGCCTGACATCATCTGAGTAAGCCTGTCTGTGTGAATTTTGCTTCTCTCAGATAAACTCAGCTTGGTCTGAGAAATTTCACAGTTAAAAGCTTGGATTTCAACATAAGAGTGATTGCAGGGAAAGAATGAGTCACTGTTCAGGAAGCCCGTGGGGGGAAGGCTTAAGCCATTGTGCATGCTTTCTTTTTCAGTAGTAAGAGCATTAAGTCCTCATTAAAAGAATAATAAAATAACACCACGCTCTTTTCTTAGACAAGTGTTTCCCTGAAGAGAATTCAGCAGTTTCTGAGTCATGATGAACTTGATCCGAATTGTGTGGAAACAAAGGTGATTTCACCAGGTAAAGACATCGGTATTTTTTTTTAATGAAGCTGATACAACAGCATCTTATATCTGTTTTGGACTGGTGGAGTTATGAAAAAAAAGCGCAAAAAGAAAATAACAATAGTAATCTTGCATTAAAAAAACAAGAGGAAACTGCTGCTTTGAAAAGTACGTGTTTGGTGTTCAGGCTATGTGGAAATAAGAAAAGTTTCTGGCAATATTTTTGAGCTTTGAGCTTGTTAGGCCTGAGTTTGCATCTGCAATGTACTGGATGCTCACAGCACTGAATATGAAGGGCATCCACTGACTGGGAACAGCAAGGCTTGTTCAAACCTTTCACACTGCACAAATGCTCAGAAGCTTTGTACACAGTTTTGATTTCTTCTGTTGGAAACAGTATCCCAAAATAATTGAGCCAGATGGTCTCAAAAAAAATGTGTTTTATCATGTAACACACTTTGGTGATACTATAGCTTGAAACTTTATGTTGCATGTGATGCCATAGACAGAGGAGGAGGAATGGCTGGGTGTCTGTCATGCAATTACTGTTCTACACCACTCCACCAGGAGGTAAAGAAAGCCTGCGGATCTATAACTTGTTAGTGTGGCAAGCAAAAAGCTGCACAGAGTTGAGTTTAATCCGGTGCATCAAAGTCAACAGCGTGCAGTGACCTCCTACTGACTTGAAAGTGGTTTCTGAAGTAAATCTGCGCTCAGTTGCAGGGGGATGCTGAGGAGCACATGTTGGGACCGGCCTCCTCACGGTAGGGTGGGGCAGGGCAGCTTTTCAGCTCCATAGCTCTGTTAACTCACAGTCTGTAGCTTAAGCTGCAGTTGGTTATTTTCACTCTGAACAAGCCTGTCTTGTGACCCACAGGCATGAGACTGTGCCTCCCATGCCAGCAGAAAAGGGAAGTGCAGTGTGTGTGAAACACCCGTAAATAAAGATCCCTCTGTCTGCCTGTCTCTCAGTCGTGCTGTTCTGTGTAACACATTCCCTGCCTCCTCTCTTGTTGTGTTTTTGTCACACAGGCAATGCCATCAGTGTAAAAAATGCCACGTTCAGCTGGGGAAAGGAGCTTAAGCCAACTTTGAAAGAGTAAGATTTTTTAAATTTTTTTTTTTCTTTTGTGTGTGCGCAATTGCAATGCAACTTCTACCTGGTCTCTGGCTCCTGGGAGGTCTATTTTGAACGATGTCTAGTAAAAACCACACATCACATATGTGCATCTCTTGTGGCAGACTCATCCCTGTGGTGGTGGATGGGCTGCCTCCAGACTGTGGGGGGGGTGGTGCCTGTTTTGCTCATTTGCCTATTTGAATGAATACAAACAAAATTTGCCTGGAAGCATATGTTTCCTTAAGTTATGCATCATGATCTGTGCAAACAGCAATTTATATTGATTTTGTTAGTGAAAGGCACTTTGATGGTAAAGAGACTCTGTCCATCAGCCATTTCCTTATTAGTTCACCTTCAGAACCAGGACCTGAAGCAGTACCTTTAGGAACATAGTGGAGAAAACAGTAAAGGAATTTAATTGGGAAGTCTTGCTTTTCTTGTGTCAGTTTGAACCCTATTTACTAGCACTGGAAATAGAGTTCTAAAGTGGTTTGAACATTTTTAGATGGGATGTATTCACTCACTACTTCCTTACAATTGATCTCAGTTTTAAAATTAAAAACCAAGATACTTCTGGAAGATTATCTTCTTTCAAAATGCTTATTAACCCAGTTTGACTTGCTGATGGACTGATAGGACACAGCAGAGGGCCTTAGAAGGCTTGTTACCAATCCTACTGCTTTAGGAATAAACAAGATAGATTAATGCTGGGTTTCCATTTGCTCCTACAGTTCTGGTTACAGTACACGAGAAAGGGAGGAGAAGACCAGTGACCAAGCTATGCTTACTATATCCAGTCAGGCTGAGGTCAGGCTGATTTGTCACTGTGTATTTCAGCCCTGCTTTAAAGACCCCTGATGCCTTTAGTAAACTAATGTTTAATTAATTTCCAGCCTGTTTCCTCCACAGTATAAATATGTTGGTCCCCAGTGGTGCTTTGGTTGCCATTGTTGGCCATGTTGGCTGTGGGAAGTCTTCTCTGGTGTCTGCTCTCCTGGGTGAAATGGAAAAGCTGGAAGGAGAAGTGGCTGTGAAGGTTGGTATTGTTTACAATGCCATTTAGTGATGGTATAGAAATGTGCTGCTTATGCCTGCCCTTGCTTAGAATGAACCTCAGGCTGCAGAGGGAATTCTGGTTGCTCCTCTGGCAGCTTGTCTGTGTGTTTGGGTTTTACCCACACCTGTTCAGTTGGGGTTTGTATGAACTTTCTTTTCCTTATTCGATCGACTATACATCAGCAATTAGCACACATATATGTGTAATGTGAATGTGTGTGAATCAGGAGCTGTGTGTGTGCTGCAGATCTTAATCAGAGCTGTAAGCAGGAATTGCTGCTTGTTAAAGTCAGAGGTGTCCTTTCTCCCTCCTTGTTCTAGGGTTCTGTTGCTTATGTGCCTCAACAAGCCTGGATCCAGAATGCCACGCTGAAAGATAACATTTTGTTTGGCCAAGCTCCTAATGAGGAAAAATACCAAAATACCCTGGAGGCCTGTGCTTTAAAAACTGACCTGGAAGTGCTGCCAGGAGGAGATCAGACTGAGATAGGAGAGAAGGTAATTATTTCTTTTTCAAGTCAAACCTGCCTGGGGATTCCTGGTCCAGCTAAAGAGAGAATGCTGTAAAGTCAGCACTTGGTTTGGTTTGATCTTTACAATGGCACCCCTGCTACAATCAACACCAAAACACGCAGGGCAGTTCTGTGGAAGGCAGTTGGACTTAAACTTGTTCCTAACTTTAGGCGTGTGCTTGAATTGTGATACAGAATTGCATATCCAGCCCTGGAAGATCAGAGCACCCCCCATTTGTTGTGCAATTGTAAAGGTGCATCTGCCCAGAATAAGTAAAAGCCCTTCTTTTCCTCTAGGGATTAAAAGGGAGGGAGCATATGGTTGCGCTTCAAGTGAAAAAATGGTATGATCATCCCTTAACACATTTTAATGAGGAACTTCTACATCTGTGATTAACAACAGAGATATTCTTTTTTTCACAGGCCACTGAGTCTGAGCTAGATTTCATGAAATGGGGTGGAGATGTGGATTTATTTGCAGGATGAAAGATGTGGAGGATGTTCCAGGTGCCACAGCCCTGCTTTGAAATTTACATTTTATATCCCGGTTGACGGTTTTCCTTTTTATGTAGTTCTGTGTTTTAACAGCTCCCTTCAGGAGCTTATTAAAAAGAGCCTCGCTCTGTCTCCAGATTGCTGGGTGACTGGAAGTTTGGCAGCGAACAAACAGATCTAGAGGCGTTGTGTTCCTGTCTCTGGGCGGGTTATTCTTTTCAGCGCCTCATGTTTCAATTTAGCATCCGAGTGTTGAGGCTGGGCGAGAGCCATGAAAAGTCAGAGCTGCTGTTGTGTGATATGTTTTGTTCTCTCCTCTCTCCCTTCAGGGCATCAACCTGTCAGGTGGGCAGAGGCAGCGCGTGAGCCTCGCCCGTGCCGTGTACAGCGGCTCTGACATTTACCTGTTAGATGATCCCCTGTCTGCCGTGGACTCGCACGTCGCAAAGCACATCTTTGACAAAGTCATTGGGCCAGAGGGGGTGCTCAAAGGAAAAGTAAGCTGGCATTTAGATCCTCCTAAAACTGCACACAAGCTCGGGAACGCTGGTGGGTAACAGGAAAGCTGTTTCACCACCGATGCTTGGGTGCCAGCTCGTTGCTGAATTTCTGTCTGTAGCTGGCAACGGGGACACCTTTTGTCACACTGTGGTGAGCTTATGCATGCCCAGAAATGATGTGAGCTGGCCAGCACATGCAGAGGCAGAAACCAGCTCTGTCTTTAAAATGCCTGCTGTGAGATCTCCAAAAACAAGGCATTTGCAGAAACTTGCACAGGTTGGCAGTGTTGCTTGTTGTTACTCAGAGGTGTGCAGGGAGGAAGCTGTACCAGATACTGATGTTACAGAGCCCTTTGGCAACATGCAAACAAACTGCAATCGCTTTCCTGCACCTTCTTCTCCTGTTGTGATCTTCTTGGATTATCTCAGAGCTCAAAAGGGAAGGGCTGCAAAGAAAATCAGCATAACGGAAGGAGGGAATGATAATTCTGTTGGTTTAATTCCCTCTATGGTTGTATCAGCAGTAGGAGCACAGTGAGTTCATGTACATATTCCCAAGCTCATTTGGCTAATGATGACAGTGTTATTTCCACCTTGATACAACAACTCACTCCCTGTCCCAAAAATTTGGTAGTATTTGGCTTGCTAAGTAGTGGTGGTCCCCACAGTAACAACCGAAAGATTTGTGGTTTTTCTCTTTTTCCCTATCCAGACCCGAATTCTGGTGACCCATGGCGTCAGCTTCCTACCTCAGGTAGACCATATAGTTGTCCTGGTAGATGGCAAAATCTCTGAAATGGGATCTTACCAAGACCTTCTGAAACAAAACAAGGCCTTTGCAGAATTCCTGCGAAATTATGCACTGGACGAAGACGTTGAAGAGGACGAACCAACAAGTACAGTATTGCTTTTTCTTAAAACATGTCTTTTTCTGCCAACGGGATTACAGATATTTTCTCTGTAAAATGCCCCCTGGTTCTTCATGACAACCTGGCATTTGCCTTTCTGCACTACCGTGAAAATTACTGTCTGTGGCCAGGTCTGTGTTATTGAGAAATGTTTTCAAAAATTCCTTTCAAAATTTCATGTGGTTTGTCCTAGAAGAAAATCAACTCTGATGATAGAAATTATTTTAAACTGGGCAATTTATTTTACAATTAGCAAGGCCAAGCTTGTCAGGAAAACGAAGTAGCCAAGGGAAAACTGGCCTTGCTATCAAAGGGGCTACCCAGAGCCTGGTGTGTTTTCTCTTTGTGTGTGGTTGGGTTTTTTCCATGTAGCAAAGTTCAGATGACATTTTAATCTTGGCTTACTTTTCAGCTTGGTTTGATTCTGACAAAATGGTACAAGATTAAAGCATTTTAGTAAATGTTTCCCCTGTGTGACAGTGTTCCCACGCTCTTTGATTGCAGCACTGCTGCTCTCCAGCCAGGCAGAGGGGAACATGCACGACATCTTCCAGCAGCAGCAGAGGCTTGCAGGAGCTCCTGACGTGACTCCCCCAGCCCCAGATCATGCCTAGAACACGCCTTATTTAGCTGAAACCAACTCTGACACTATTGCCTGACATTCTGATGTGTTAAAGGAATGTGATGTAAATGTGTTTGGCAGCCAACCTGCCTCACAAGATCTTCGCAATTTCGTTCAGAGAAGTGATGCACAGAACTAAAGCCAGGGGGGATTTTATGCACTGTGATTTTCCTGCTGTGGTATTGTTTTTCATGACTCTTGCTTTGTACAGCCACCTTTTTCTGTGCTTTCTGCTTTATGGGGTGGAAAATCTGAGGTGTGATCCTGTCTTGCAGTGCTGGAGGAGGAAGAAGTCCTGCTGGCTGAAGACACCCTCAGCATCCACACCGACCTGGCGGATAACGAACCAGTGACCAATGAGGTCCGCAAACAGTTCCTTAGGTAAACATGAGGTTCATGTGCTTCTAATCTCTGTCTGGGGTGAAACACATCTGAAAGATGTTATATACATACTGCTTCTCCATCTGGGCTTCAGTTTGCTTAGTTTCCTCTTACAAATAAATTGGTTTAGTGTCCTTTTGAAAGTAAATGTGAAAGAACATGCAAAGAAGATCAAACATCTATTCCTGCATTCGTCTTTTGAATCTGAACTGAACCAATTCCTTTAAGCAGCTCTCTGGTTCTCAGGTAACACTGCTGTATGTATTTACCTACTCAACATAAACTGCTGCCAGTTATATCATAAATAAACCCTTTGCATTTCACCTTTCCCTCGAGAATCTTAGAAATCTTTATCATTTTTTATAACCAATAGCCACAGATGCTGTCCAGCTTCTTTTGACATGAAAACAGAGAAGCTCAGGGTTTAGCTTGAAATGTCTGCCTTGCCATGAAGCCTCTAAAGGCCTTTCCCAAAGAGCCCAGGCCCTGCCACAGCTGTTCTTAGATGCTGTATTTCTGACATCACTGGACATCCAGAGGGGTGGTACAAGCACCCACAGCTGTGAGCGAGACTGGCATGGGAACTCAGTGAAAGGGCTAGGAATAAGTCCAATCCACTGCATGCCAGTCATGCCTCAGCACTGCCTCAATATGCCCTTTTTCTCCTAATGACTCTTTTGTTTTAACCAGGCAACTTAGTGTAGTGTCTTCTGAGGGAGGAGAATGTCCCAACAAAATGTCAACGAAACGAAGAGTCTGTGAGAAGAAGCCAGCAGAGCCTCCTCTGCCAAGAAAAAATGCTAACGAGAAACTTATTCAGGCTGAAACCACTGAAACAGGCACGGTATGGTTTGATTTGCCCCCCTCCCTTTTGCTACACTTCTGTTTGAAAAAGAATCATTTTTATTTTAACATTTGATCCAGTTCTGTTAAACGCGTTGTATAAATCACGACTGCAGCCTTTAGGCCTTAATCTGGTGGCCACTGATCGTTCAAATTTAGGATCTTGGCAGAGGTTTTGGCACCCAACAAGAGCTATATACTTAGTGGGGGAAAAAAAAAAGGAAAAAAAAAAAGAAAAAAATCCCTTCCAGCTCCCATCACAGTCACTTGATACCATGGAGCCCTGCACTCCATCAGCCCTGCCTTTGCCTTGCAGAGCTTTCAGCACTGCTGGTTTTTAAACTGCTTGGCTGCTGCTGGGTCCAGCTGCAGCAGTGGGTTACACGAGCCAGCTGCCTGCTGGGTGCCAGAGGGTCTGCTCTGCCGAAATACCTGCCACTCCCTTCCGAGAGCATTTTGTGCTTGTAGGTACAAAGGGGCTGTATTCCTCCTGAGCAGGGCCAGGGAGTGAAATGGGAACAGGGAAAAAGAGAAGATGGGAATACAAAAGTAAAAGGGCATAAAAGGGCAGCAGAAGGAAGAGGAGCAGGGAGGTTTGCATAAAGAAAACCCCTTCCCTCCACTTCAGAAGGCTCAATGTGTCCTGTTTAGTCTGATCTACTGGTCCCCAGCACAGACCTGTAATTAACTTTTTCTGTGGATTATTTTAGCTTTCAAAGTCCCTAATCAACAACATTTTTTTTTTAATTATTCCTTCTTATGCTCTTTTTGGAGACTGAGTTTTTTCCTGAGTCTGTCTCTTTTGGCTTCTCTGCCTTTTTGTACTACCTTTGAGACAGCACCCTTACTCCTTGCCACAAGCATCATCTCTTTATGTTCCTGTTGGGGTGCACCAGCATTTGGTACCTCATTTAAGTTGCTGTAAAGACACAGAATGGAGGCATATTCAGCACTTTTCCTGAAATAGGCCATTTAAAGTAGTCCTGAGCATGATAGCCTGCCAAGTTGCTTCTTTTGCGTGAAAAACTTGGCTCCTGTCCTTGCTGCTATTTGATCAGCTTCTTTTCTTTCCCTTTTTTCCCCCCTCTGGCATAGTCCTAAGAACTAAAACCCTACCAAACTAATGAAATACAGTTCCTCAACAAGGAGGAGAAGAGTATTTCAGAGAAGTTTCTGGCTTGTTCTGAAAGTCGTCGTCCTGACATGGAGCTCAGGCAGATGAGCTGTTCTCCGTGGTGTGTTAAAGCTTGGACAGTTTTGAACTCAGCAGTTCCCCTGACAAAGAATTTTTTTTTTCTCCTCTTAATTCTCTCTAAACCCCTGCTTGTGTGAGCTGTACAAACCAGCTTTGGTGTGTGATTTTGCAGGTGAAGCTATCAGTGTTCTGGCAATACATGAAGGCTGTCAGCCCTGTCCTGTCTTTAGCAATATGTTTCCTGTATTGCTGTCAAAATGCTGCTTCCATTGGGGCCAACGTGTGGCTCAGTGACTGGACCAACGAGCCGGTGGTAAATGGGACTCAGCACAACACGGCCATGAGAATCGGGGTCTACGCTGCCTTGGGCCTCTTGCAAGGTGAGAGCAGATAAAATCATGATGTCTCAATGGTTAGGCAAGAGGAATTAGGTGGAAAGGCCCGGTACCAGTTGCCAGTGGTCCATAAGGAGAATAGATGTAGATCAGATATTAGGAAGGAATCATTTACTGTGAGGGCGGTGAGGCCCTGGCACAGGTTGCCCAGAGAAGTTGTGGTTGCCCCATCCCTGGAAGTGTTCAAGGCCAGGTTGGATGAGACTTGGAGCAACCTGTCCAGTGGAAGATGGAACTTTAAGGTCCTATCCTAAGCAAGGGAGGTAATGTAACCTGGAGCTGCAAAGTCTGAGCTCAGCCCAGTGCCTAATTTTGTTGTGAAGCCCTCAGAGGGGGTTGAACAGGTGACATGGAAGCTTTAGGGAGGTAAGTTGGAGAGAAAACATGAAAATTGCAGAAGAGACTGAAGGCCTGGGGTGTAGTTGTAGTAATTAGGACTTCATGGAGGTTTGTGGAAAGCAGAGGGAGGATGTTTGTGTGCCTGTTTTACATAGACAGGATGGTGAAATCCTGCAGGCTGTGTTCCTGTGCCTTAGGCAGTAATGCTGTAGTGCTGATGTGCACGCTAAGAGAAGAGTGGACAGGGAATACAGTAAAGCAAAAAAAGCTTCAAGCTCAGCAGTAACAGCCAAGAATCAAGGAGCTGTGAATTGGGAACATCATGTTCATGGATTAACACGTCTCCTCCTCACCCACCAGGGCTCATAGTGCTGATCTGCTCCTTCACGCTGGCCATGGGGGGCATCAACGCCGCCCGGACGCTCCACGCTGCGCTGCTGGAGAACAAATTTCACACCCCACAGTCCTTCTACGACACCACCCCGACCGGCCGCATCATCAACCGCTTCTCCAAGGACATCTACGTCATCGACGAGGTCATCCCGCCAACCATCCTGATGTTCCTCGGGACGTTCTTCACCTCCGTGTCGACCATGATTGTCATTATAGCGACCACTCCTCTCTTCGCCGTGGTTATAGTTCCACTTGCAATTCTGTATTTCTTTGTTCAGGTAACAGGAAAAATATCTGACTACCATTGTAACCTTATGCCGTTCCTTTTCTTGTTAGTAAAAACAACATTAATTTTTTTTGGGGGGGGGAATTGAAATATCTGGAGTAGCTACATGTTTATGTAAACACAACATTATTTTACTTCTCTCAGAAAAAGAAACGTCCTGTGAGATGTGGTCATGAAATAAATAGGCATAACCTTTTCTAGCTTTTAAGTATTAAAAGGTAAGCCTACTGCTAGAGACAGAGCTGCAATGCATATCAGTATATTAAAGTGTGAATATACTTGACACGCTGACAAGTTTTTAAGGTGGTGAGGAGGTAGAATGTTGAAAATAGAAAGCAACGATTGTATTGATTTCTGAGCAAAAACGAAGTGTATTTTATAGACTGTGAATAGAGACATGATAATGGAGGTGCAAATGCACATTTTGTTTTCTTGGAAAATAAGGTTTCTACAGATGGATCCATTTTGTTAGGTTATATTAGCTAAATTTAAAGAGACATAAATAAATTCAACTTACTGCCTAGAGAAATTGCAGTTACCCAGTGTTCTCTTGTGGAAAGAAACAAAGATAACTTTCATGAAATTCTTCTTAATTATAGAAGACATTTCAGAGGGTTGAAGTGCATTAGTAACAATCTCCGTTAAATCCTTAACCTAAGAAATTCATCACTGTTAATTAAAAGAGAGAGTATTTCATGTACCCTTCAATTTTCTCTGAAAAATGGCAGCGATTCTACGTCGCGACCTCCCGCCAGCTGAAGCGCCTGGAGTCCGTGAGCAGATCTCCCATCTACTCCCACTTCTCAGAGACAGTGTCAGGGGCCAGTGTCATCAGAGCCTACAGGAGAGTGAAGGCCTTTGTAGACATCAGTGATCTGAAGGTGGACGAAAATCAGAAGAGTTACTACCCTGGGATCGTATCAAACAGGTAACAGGCACATCATTTCTTGTTTCCACTCAGATAATCCCCTGCTTGCAAATCTGGTCCAAGCAACCACTTGCTGCTGTACTTACATCTGCCTGCTCCCCAGGTGGCTGGGCATTCGAGTTGAGTTCGTGGGGAACTGCATTGTCCTTTTTGCTGCCCTTTTTGCTGTGATTGGTAGAAACAGCCTGAATGCTGGCCTGGTAGGACTGTCAGTGTCCTATGCGCTGCAGGTACGTGTTACAGCTTTCTGCTCGTTGGTGGGTTTGCCTTTTTGTAGATGACAGGGATATATTAGCAATGATTTAAGTGCTTGTTAAAGCTGAAGTTAATAAGGAAATAATAAAAATGAGCTGTGGGATGTCTGGAAACTAGAGAGTTACAGTGAATGCTGGCAGATCATCATCAAGCTCACATGCAGTAGGATTTCAGGGCATTTTGAGAGCATCAAGACTGTGCTGCAACCCAGTATTCCCATACAGGAAGCTCAGTAAATGTCAGGTGCACCCACCAAGAACAGGTTATTTGAGCACCATGGGCTTAACCTGTCCTGCATCATTCCTGCTACCAGCACATCAGTGTGTCCAGGTCATCAGAGGCAGAATAGTACGATTCATAATTAGAAAAGGTAAACTGTACTGACGCAAGCTGTGGACAGTTCAGCAGATTTAATGGCCTCACTTTTGCCAGAAGAATTTTAGATACCATGAGAGTGCAGGATTGCTGCTAGCAGTTTCCCAGTGAGACCCGTGATTTGGGGAATAACCAACTTTTTTTGAGAGGGCCATGTGTTAAATCATTGTGGGAGGCGTGTGCTTCTTCACATGAGTACCTGATAATCTGTAGACTTCTTGTACCGGTAACTGTATTAACATCAATGCAAAGGCAATTATTTCATTTGCAATATTAATGTGAATCCACTCTTAGTAGCGGTGTTTGCTGTTGTTGTTATTATTATTGTTGTGGTGGTTGTTGTTGTTATTATTATTATTATTATATCTGTTGTTCCTCTGGGGGTGATATTTTATTCCTTGTCTTCTTCAAGGTGACCTTGTCTCTGAATTGGATGGTCCGAATGACTTCTGAACTCGAAACTAACATTGTGGCTGTGGAAAGAATAAAAGAGTATTCAGAAACAGAAACAGAGGTCAGCTGCCAAGGGTCAAGTATGCTCAGCAACAACCGTGGTGAAATTTTAATGCACACATTTACATGGTCTTTCTTCAGACTCCTGATAGACAGTTCCTGCTCTGAGAGTTATCATTTAACCTGAACAAATGTCACGCTCTGAACTGTAATTTATGCTATCACAGCTCCAAATTATTATTGCCATCATGCAGCCTGTGCTCAGCATCTCATTTTCTGCTGCTGTGAGTGGCTAGCACAGGAGATGAGTTTCACATCAGAATCTTGGTCCCTTTGGGTTTGAAGTGTTTGATGCACAGTCTTACCTGCATGACTGGTGCTGTGATCCTGCCAGTGAGCACAGCTCCAGTGCAATTATCAGGCCTTGCACGTGTTTTCAATAGTATTTCTGTTTAATCAGCTTAATCAGGCCTCACCTCCCATGAGAGAAGAACATCTCTAGGAACATTGTGCTGCTAATCCAGGAAAAGCATCCAATCATCTACCTTTCTTGCCAAAGACTTTTGAAGGTGGCAGATGGAGCTATGCCAGGAAAACTGCTGCTCTCTGGACACACTGGGGTTTATTAGCCCTGTGTACATAATAAGAATTAGGAAATGGAGGATCTGAGGAGAGCTCCAGTGTGTGGTGCTGGAGATCAAGCATTTAATCTGGAAGCTAAAAGGAAGCTAGACAAGATGCATGATGCATGTTATAAACCAGAGCTCAAGCTGGCAGGAAAGCAGCAGTGGTCTATTAAACGTAATAGGAAAAAAATTATATCCATTGAGGATCCGGCCCTGTGTGCTCAGACTTTTTTCCTGTAAATTTCACATCAAAGACAAATGGGTGGATAACTTGGAACCCATATTTTTCCTCCATTATTATAAATTTGTTTGAAAATGGATATTTGACTTATCAGTTAAAGTGTTTGTGCCTGAGTTTGAATTTTTTTTTTCTTAAACCTGTATGAGGCATTTCTGACTTGTGTTTTCCTTAGGCTCCCTGGATCATTGAAGGCAAGAGTCCCCCAGAAGACTGGCCATCCAAGGGAGAGCTGGAGTTTGTGAATTACTCAGTGAGGTACAGGAAGGGCCTGGATCTGGTGCTGAAGGGTATAAACCTCCAAGTCCATGGTGGGGAAAAGGTGAGTTACCAGCTGGATATCTTTGCTAGAACTTTTCTCTGAGCCTCCAGTGACAACCATGGAGTAGAGGAGAGGGTGTACAAGCACGGTGACCCCAGTGGTGGAGACCTCCTCCATCTGGCAATGCAGGAGCAGCAGTGACAACTGAGCTGTCCTTGTGCCAGCATCCTGCAGGCTGGAAGCAGCAGCACCAATTGCATGGGACTTTCTGGACTTTCCAAGTTCATTTGGCAATAGGCTCCCATACACTGTGTAGGAAGCACCAGTGCAAGTGACAAAAATTCAGTGACAAGAACACTTTTTTTCTGAAGCAGTGCAGATGGGAGAAGGAATTCCAGCTTTTTCTGCTCTCTGACTTTCCCTGTGAAATTTTTGGCATGGAAGGAAATGACATTCTTTGCTTCCTTAATCAGGAAATGGTCTTTTTCTGAGAGATTCATTTTTCATGCTTCATTGGAAAGTTCTGGGGTTTGCCTGCTGGTGACAGAGTAATTAGCATGGGAAAGTCCTTCCCTGAACAGGCTGTTATTAAAAGAGAAGAGATTTATCCTTATACTAGGCAGACAGGATGGCAGCATCCTTCTGGCATGGAGATACATACACTTACCCAGAAGTCTTTATTTCTTGTCCTTGAGTGACTGGACTCCTACCAGGGGTGCTCCAACTGATCACCCAAAGTTACACAGAATGGCTCTAGGTCTGTACATATTTATATGGAATATCATTCCAATTAGAGGAATGACCATAAATACTGTACAGTGGATTCCCAGGATTACTAGTGAAGGAAGGTTCCATTCTTTCAGATACTGTGTCACACCTCTTCAACGAATCTTGGGGGGTTGTTTTAGGGTTTTTTGCTGGGTTTTGTTTTCTTCCTAACCATATGCTGTGTTGTTAAATTTGCAATTTGTTGTAGATTGGAATTGTTGGCAGAACCGGAGCAGGGAAGTCCTCCATGACGCTCTGTCTCTTTAGGATCCTGGAAGCTGCAAAAGGGGAAATTAAAATTGATGGTGTGAAAATTTCAGAAATTGGTCTCCATGACCTTCGATCGAGGCTAACAATTATTCCTCAGGTACTGTTTCTGTGTGTCACAGGAAAGGAAGGATCTCTAACAATTTAACAAACCATAAATAATGGTTTATCCACAGAGGAAAATGCCTTGTTACACTTAGAAAATTGTTTCAGAAAAACAAACTGTTTATACTTCAGGTGGTCCTGTCTCTCCCACCTTATAGGCTAATGCTGGGTGATAAAACAGGATTTAGGATAAACCATCTTTACAGTTGGAACTTGAGTTTGAAGTGTGTATATTGTCAGAGTGAGCTGGATTAGGAGGTGGCCTCCCTGCAATGCAATGGAGACCTCAAAGCAACAACTCATAGTATCTAAAACATAGTATTAAAACAACCAAAGCACTTGTCTAATGAGAACTGGCTTATTATATCCAGGATCCTGTTCTATTTTCTGGAACACTGAGGATGAACCTGGACCCATTTAATAAGTATTCAGATGAGGAAATATGGAAAGCCCTTGAGCTGTCTCACTTGAAGAGGTTCGTCAGCAGTCAGCCATCCATGCTGGACTACGAGTGCTCAGAGGGTGGAGAGAACCTCAGGTAAGGAATGCTTGGACTAGGACACACACTGAGCTGTCCTTCAGCTGTGGCAGCGGGGGACACCTGAGCACAGGCTGACACTGTGGTCTGGTGTGTCTGAAATGGTTTAACCCCCTATTCCTTTTCCAAGAAAGCCACCAAGGTTCAAACATTTGCCTCCTGTTCTGCCTCTGCCACAAATGATCTGATTCTTCTTTGCTTCAGGGAAGGATTTTTCCTGAACTAAAATCCCATTTATTAGTAAAGAAAGACATTTCAGGATGACAAGATAGTAGGGACAGGCAGTACCTTAACACAGTTTGTTAGGACGGGAAATTCCCTGATAACATACACAGCTGTTGTGCTGAATAACAGTCCTCTGCCTGACACTTCAGCAATGTTTATTTTCCATTATTATTTGGAAGACCCATGAAGACATGACTGGGGATGATAAAATGCCATGTTTTGATATGCTTCATTGGCTTCTGAGGCTGTGGTGTCACCAGATTATGCCTGTGATGAATGTTCAGCTCCTTCCTCAACCTGCAGACACTCAGAGACTAAACCTAGGCTGTGTTTGTGACAGAGGAGGAAGTCTGGCTGCCCATATATATGTATATTACTTTTTATGGTAGAAAGGACTTGTAGCCTCATATCATTTTTTTTCCTTTTTATTAGCATTTTTCTTTCTTTTTTTTTCCTAAACAACTCACAGTGTTGTCAGAAGTGTGAGTGTTTCCGAGAGCGTGGGCAGAAGCACTGTCATTCATCATTAGTTGCCCTGGCTTTTGTCAAAATGATAAAAGGGACATTTGGTGGCTTTGCCAGCACTGAGTCAGGCAATAACATGTCACTCAGTTAGTGCTGGCGTGCTGCAACCTGTGTGTATTTAGCAAGGCTGCTTGCTAAACATTCTGGGGGTTTTTTGGGTAACTTTGCCCAGCGAGTGACCTGCTCCAGCACGAGTGGCTGTGAGCAGCGGGGCCTGGCTGGTGACAGCCTGTGTGTGTTCGCAGCGTTGGCCAGAGGCAGCTTGTGTGCCTGGCCAGGGCCCTCCTGCGCAAGACCAGGATCCTGATCCTGGACGAGGCGACCGCGGCCATCGACCTGGAGACGGACGATCTCATCCAGATGACAATCCGGACGCAGTTTGAGGACTGCACGGTGCTGACCATCGCACACAGGCTGAACACAATCATGGACTACACCAGGTACAACCTCTCCGTGGTGCATCGGGGGGAGGCTCATGGTGGGTGTGAGGCAGCACTTGCAGGGCTCTGGTTTGTCTCTAGACAGGCACACTGATGCTCTCGCTGGGCACTGTGTAAGCAATGATGTTTAAGCCATATAATCCCAGAATATCCAGTCCCGACTTTGGCTCTGTTGGCGTAAGAAATAGGATCTATATTCAGTAACCAGAGCTGTGCAGGTGACACTGCCCTGCTGCACTCCTGGCACTGTCAGGAAGCTTATGGGGCCTTGTTAAACCAGCAGCTGCTGTAACTTTTTCACTAACAGCACACTGTATTAATTACTTGAAAATATACTAGTGTACTTCATGAGCTTCTATCTCCTTGGGTCTCTGGAACTGTATTTTCGATTCCAGAACTACCAGCAAGGCACTTTTCCCCTCTTATTTACCCAGGAGATAGTGATTGCCCTGTACCTTTTTTAGCCAAACAGCAGCTCAGGGAGAATATTTATCATCTATGTGAAAATAATTGAGGAAAACAAAGGTGAGACAAAGATTAGAGCAGTTTGCTTTGTGATAAAACCAGGTGTCATGTTTCTTGTGAGGAATTCTCTGACACATCTTCCCCCTCTCCCTCCTATTTTGTTTTTCACAGGGTTCTTGTTCTAGACAATGGAACCATAGCTGAATTTGACACACCTGCAAACCTTATAGCAGCAAAGGGCATTTTCTACAGTATGGCCAAAGATGCTGGACTGGCATGAAGAGAAGACCCCTGAAGACCCCTTGGGTTTTGGGTTTGGTGTTTTTTTAATATTACTGACTTGCCACAAAAGTGACTTGTGAATGTACTGTAATTTTACAAAACAGTTTTTGTAGTAGACTCAACACGTGATATGTGAACAAAGTATTTTACAATTACAAGGAGCAGAAAGTGAATTTTATATTTTTAAATATTTTCTATATACATATTTTATTACATGCTTTTTTTCCCAAAGAAGGCCAAACATTCTGACAAGAAAATGTATGTACTGCAGGGCAATAAGTACTGCATTCAGGTTTGTAATTAGTAAATTATATTAATGGTACAAAATACACCTGGTTTGTGTGTTTTCTGCATAAGGATTCATTGGGTTTGAAGTGGAAAACAGGCCCAGTTAAGTTGTGACTCAGCTGAATAATAGTGAAATGATGTGTAACCTCTGAGTGGTTCCAACCTGTTCCTTTCAATATTTCTCCAGGGCAAGGGAGTTGAGTGTTGCAGCTCCCAGGCTGTGAGCTATCCCAGGACCTTTGGGATCCCTGCCCAGGGCAACTTCGGCATTATAAAATTCCTCTTCGGCATAAGAAGTAACATGTATTTAAAACTAAACCTACAAATGGCTTCACATAAATCATTAACCACACAAATCTTTCCAATTCAGTAGACTCCACACAAGCCTACAGGGACATGATTGGCACTTAACTACTAGGATTTTGCTGTATCTCTCTTAGGTATGGAGTCACTATGAGTAAGTCTCCACTTTAGCTGAACGTGCATGCTGAGCAGGTGTGTATTTAGTTTATCTTGTTCAGCTCCTTAATCACCCGAAATAACATGGGATTTGTTTTACAGAAATAAATATCTATTTTATTACTGATAACCAGGCCTCCTCAGATGAAAGGAGTCCTCTGTTCAAACAGTATTTGCTGCTAGAACCTCTTTTGCTTTAGTTGTTTTCTTCCTACACCAAACACTCTAGAAACCCATTGGCAAGAAAAAATTTTACCAGGAGTAAAACGCAGAAAAACTTTGGGAAGACAAAAATAATCATTTATTAATTCTTACAAATTATACTTCTTAAATAGAAACATGAATCTGCAGCCAAGCATTTATTAGACATTAACATTTCATACAGCAGAGGACAAAGCAATGAATTATTTATCACACACAGAATGTAGTGGTTATACACTGATGGGATTGTTAGGAGTGCTAATAGTGTCTTCGGTGTATAAACTGCATAAGACATAAAAATATTCCTGGGAATGCATAGATAGGGATCAGCATCTGTGCGAGATCATTGACCCAACAGCTGAGCTGTCCTCTAGTGGGTCTGGCTGGTTAACCCTGGTACCCTCCTGGATTCAGCTGGTGTCCAGGCCATGCCTGACCCATCCTGTGCTGTGTGCCGGGGAGAAAGCAACTGCCAGGGTGATGCAGCGAGCGAGGATTTTGTTATTCCATTCTACAGAAGTTAATATTCCGCCAGGAATCTGATATAAAAAACATACATTGCCAACGCCTCGGACTGTTTGACCTCCAGCACTTTGCAGAAGAGGCTGCTTTGATGTGACGAAACGTTCTGTGTTCACCTCAGGAGACACAACTCTAGCCTAGTGAACTGGCACAGAGGAGATCTGGGTGTTTGCACCCATCTGTGTTGCAGGTGAGCATTGGCCATCCCGCAGATTGTGGGATGCAGGCTGGGAGCGGGCTCCCTCTGGTGTGCTCAGTGCCTGCTGCAGGAGCTGCTCCTGCTGGGGGAGAGCAGCGAGCACGGCTGGTTTGGGTGCAGTTCCTGTGGTTTTGTGGTACAGGTGGCTGCTCTCCCTTGCTCTGAGAAGGGGGCTGAGGCTGAGGTTGGTGCCTGGCCCCAGTAACGGGGAGTCACCTGGAGCAGTCGGAGCTCGGGATGCAGTGCTGGCCTGGGCATTGAGGCTCCCAGCTCAGCACACCTCTGCTGTCAGGCACATTACAGACATTGTACTGCCAGCTCGGGCTCTGAACTCTTAGACAAGACAAAGATAAACTCCTTTGGTTGCTGCAGTTTCCAAAGAAACTGGGAGGAGGGGAGGGGAAGACGAAGAAACGGGAAAATTCAGTCCAGTTTGGTGCGTTCTGTTCACCTGTTACATCTCATACTTTAATTTGCTTATCCAATCCACAGCACCCACTTTTCACTTAAGCTACCACTTAAGCTAACTCTTTCTCAAATGCAAGTGGACTGAGAAATACTAAAATCCTAAAAAAAAAAGTCAGATAAAATGCAGCTCTTAAATACTTTTCAATTTCTTTATTCCAGAATTTCACAGCAAATTAGTCGAATTCTGAATTTTAAGTAACTGTGGTTGTTTTTTTTTTTCAGTAAACAACATGGGTAAACACAAGTCATAGGGAAAAAAATAAAATACATTGCATAGGAACACAGGAAGATTTAATACCAGCCCAGAAATCACTGGGCACTTCACTAGTTTCTTTTTACACAGGCAGCTTTATAGGTTCAAGATGCAATCTTTTTCAGGAATGCAGAGGCAAAAGGAAAACAAAATTACAATTTTGTGCTTTTAAAAGAGGAAATTAAAGCAGCATTGGAGAAATGTCAATACAGTAGGAATAATAGGATTTTAAATTGCACGTATCAATGCTATATATTGACAGACAACAATAAAAGGGATTTTGGTTGAGAGCATATTTATTATTTGGATAATTACTATCACTTTTATTTTTAACCTGAGAAATAGGGAAGAGTGTAAACAGGGATTAAGAAATCACAGGTAATAAGTCACTTGATAGTATTTAAACGAGACATAGTTTTGTGCTTCTTCCACACATTTAAACCCTTGTAGTTTTTTCCTTCTAAGTAAGATATGACTTAATGTACACAATCTAAAAAGGGAACATTAATGGTAATGGACTCAGTACAAATACTAAATGGGCTTCGTGGCAGGTTCTTTAGCTTGAGTACCTCTGCTATTTTATAGCAAACAAATTATTAGAACAGCTTAAGGTAAGCCTTTCCCTGAGAGCTGCTAACTCTGCAGTGTTTGAAGATTATCTTTTTGAAAGGAAAAGTGTTGCATTAACAGATAGTTCTGACAATACTTCCTTTGCGTTGAGCTACTTTCATATCAGACTCACTACTCTTAGATTAACTAGAAGCTGTAACTGTGCATAACCACTTTAGTTTATTTCAAGGTTAACAAAATAGATTTTTTTTCACATCATTAGCCCTTAGTAATTTTAAAATGAGAGATACAAATACTTTTATTCCTTGAACAATTAGTATGTAAGTTCTGATGCCTTCTTGTTATAACCACTCCGTTCAGAAAGTGTTGGGACTCTGAAAAGTAAGGTTTTGTCGCTTACTGTTAGAACAAGCTCCAGTTCTTGGAAATCCTGCAGCCTTGCAACATCTTTGTCCTTTAAATAAAAGAAAATAGTAGTTGGGTATCTGTTATAGTATCTGTTAATTTTCCAGAGGTAAGTTAAAAAAAATCTCATACTAACACAAGTATGTATCTATAAATATGACAATTCTTTACAGTAAGCTGGAAAGCAGACATCCTGTTGCATCTTATATTTATTCTGGGGCTCCTATTCAGCTACTCACTTAAGTCTATTTTTAGGAGGAATGCAACACTGATGGTGAGTGCAAGTGATTAGAGGAATTGCACTTGTCAAGACCTACTGCATGCCACACAACTCCTCTCTTTTTTCCTGCTTGGTAATTCTTAAAAGCTCATGAATTGATTCTTGCCTCTACCAAAGAAGGTCCCACATGCAGCTTAATCCAGAGCAGCCCACTAAGGCCAGCTCTGTGCCCCCCACAGCCCTGCTTTGCTGCCAACAGCATGACACAGAACTAGGTTTGTGTCACTTCAAGGAACAGTAAGTGTCCTGCAGTCCTACCAGACAGCCTGAACTGATTAGAGATGGAAATAAAAATTCCTTTCAACAATAACTGAAGTTGGCAAGTGACAGAATTCCTTATGTCTTTTTCTTTTCCCTCCACTTCCTGACTAATACAGAATAATTCATCCTACAGTCAGTGAAGATGCAGCACGGTGAAGTCTATTAATCTAGTCCTAATCAGATTTGGCCCACGAGTGACGCCAACAACGCTCTGCAAGGATTTAAGAGTGAAAGAGAGGTCAGTGGTGAGTTGGTAAAACAGGTCAGCAGGTGCCTTTTGTGTTTGCTGCAGGCGTAAATGTCACTGAAGTAAGGACAGTTCTGTTCAGAGACCTGCACTGAGTAATTCTGAAACATCTCTGTGCAAGGACTGCAGTCAAGCCTTGATGAACTTGCAGAGCTTGGCTGAGTTCTGCAGGCCTTTTAAATGCTGATGGCAGCTCACAAAATCAGGTATTAATTGGGTTCAACACCAAATGGTTATGAAAAGAAACTGAAGAATCTTTTTACTTAACAAAAACCCAAAACAACTGCTGAGTGCTGAAAGCTGAAGGAAGGTTTTTCATTTTGTTTTCCTTTTTTTTCCAACATGGGCCTATGCACGTAACCAACAAATTATCCCTTTATAACAGCAATCCAAAAATGTCCTTTATAAGTTAATGCACTTCAAAATGTAGAGTTCTTACCTTTCTTAACATTGTATTTGGTAATTTTCTGATCTTCTGTACATGCTCAGGGTTCACACCCAGCTCACGGCAACTCACTCGGAGCAGTTCCTTATAGGTCAGTTCTTGTCTGTCCAGTTCAATTTCAATGAAGTCATTTTCTCTAAGATTAGGGTTTTGTATTCTAACTTTAAGCACCAGTTCTATTAAAAATAAAAAGGCACATTAATAGGCAGATGTATAATGGAATTGGAAACTACAGAATAACTTCTAAATACTTCTATATTCTATTAACCTTGTTGGTAACAAGTGAATACTTGGAAAGCAAAATCTGGAATTGTATGACCACAGTTTTCGTTACATTGACTTTCATCAACCTATATGAAAAAAATCATTACAAATCTAATGCAGTGTGTGTGTGCACGTCTGAGCCTTTGCATGAATACTCACCTTACTGGATTTAAGCCAACCTAACAGCAGATTATACTGATTATAACTTTCCTGAGCAATCCAAGATTGCATTTATTTACTCTTTTGGTCATCAGTTAAATTCTCATTGCCAACCCGTGGCATCAGAACACCTTTTATTTTGCAGATTTCGCAGATTTCCTCTCTGGGCAGGCAAAGCTTCCCTGCAGAACTGGCAGATCCCAGAACAATTTACCTCAAGACCTGGGTGCAGACTGAGCCATGTGAGGTTCTCTTGAGCTCACCAGCTGTATATTCACGTTCTGTATTTGCAGCCTGGACTATGCTATTTAGAAAATTAGATTACCCTGGGGCCTGTATGCTTTTATGGCAATTGAGACAAACAGCAAATGTTTTCATCAATATTTTAATAACAGCTCCAGCAGAAACAGGATACCTGCATCTTTCATTTCCTACAAATATTTCATGAATGTCTAAGCACGGGAACCTGAAAATCTCTGGATGTGCTGTGAATACGCCTGACCCTGATTAGTCTGCACTGCCCATGGTGACAGAAGACCTCAGACAAAGTGAGAGGAGACTTTTGCTATTTATTACCTTGCATATTGAGTGGAAAAGCTCCTGTGAAGAACACGGGCTGGAAGGCCGGCACAGGCCCCACGCAGGAGCCGTTCTCTTGCTGGGGTACGGACTGGTTGGATCCTGCCGGCGAAGGGGGGCCTCTGCTCCAGGACACCGAGCCCTGGTAAACAGGAGTTCTCTGGAGGACAGGATGTGAGCGTGGTGGCCCAGCAGGCCCTCGGGGCAGGGGTGGCATGTCCCCATTGGGAGCCCCCTCGGGAGCAGCGTTCCCATGCTGGAACGGCGCAGGTCTGTGAGGCTCCGTGTCAGGCACGGACAGAGAGTCGGCTTCGTGCAGTTCAGAAGGGGAGAGATTCCCATTCACAGTGGGATCTGGAATGCTGCTACTCGTGGTGTTATAAACATAAGGGAAAGGGGGGTTAGCCAGGTAATTGGGGATGATTGGCAGGTCTGAATCTTGCTTTAGGACTGGGAGTTCATCGTCTTCCACTGTAAAACAAACAAAACAACATTCTCCAAGACTTATCTTGGGGGGAAAAAAGAATTATTGCTATTGCACTGGGGGCTTTAGTTTTATTTTATGATTATGATTATTATGATTATGATTATTATAATTATTGTGAGGGAGTCGAGTGTTAAAGGCATCACAGGTTAAAAAATGGATCAGTAAGACCTGCACCTTTTTTTCCACAGTAAACAGAACCGTGCTCAGGTGTTGCCATACAGTGAACACAAAAGCTGAGTCTGATTCTAGTAATTCTGGGGGTACTAATTCCTTGTAAACGCGGCAGTACTTGTGTTTTGGTTTGGTTTAATCCATAGCAGCGCGTTGTAACAGGGTCTCTGGTGGTGTCATTTTCATAATGCATCAGGCAACAAAAAACAAAGGGTCATATGTTGTTCGATATTAAGGCAAAGGATAAAGGGAAGGGAACATGCAGTACTGGGAGAGCTGCACCATTACCCATTCAACAGCTGGGAGACAACAATGAAAACAAAACCAGACGCGGGAGTACAAAGGGGAGGGAAGAGTTTGTTAATCGACCACATTTCAAATTACTTATCACCTCCAGCAGCAAATCCTCCTCTGCTCCAGCAGTTACAAACAAGATAAAGATGCTCCACCAATGTCCTTTAATGAGCCACTTATCTGAGCTGCTAATTTTCGATTTATTCAACACAGAACATCAGGAAAATTAGGTGTTGATCATATAAGGGCTTCCTGCAAATTCGAGAGATTTTTCTCCCACTGCCTTTTTAAAAACAGGAAGGTGTGTCTGTTTGCCACAGGACATTCTTAAAAATGCCAGTTTTCCCTAATTTTTCAGCGTTTAGAAAAAAGTTTGGCTAGCTGGGTGTGGAATTTGTTGGTAATCCTCTTTTCTTAAACTTTGTTTTCTTATCAAGTAAACACTAGAAATCAAGTGTAGTTAGTACTGAAATCCAAACACATGCAAAACAAAGACTGGAGCACACATGCTTAAACAGCCTTTTACTAGTCTTTGATGGTCACATAGCACAATTACTAAGTTACCTCCCAGCATCTTCCTGATCTCTCTCTTGGATGTTAACTGGGCTGGCCTCTCTCCTTTCTTGGTCAGGATGTCCTTGTCTGCTCCTGCGTGCAGCAGATAAGCCACCACGGCCGCGTGGTTCCGCTTACAGGCCCAGTGCAAACATGTCCTGCACATGGAAAACATTAACTCTGTGTCAAAGCAGATTCATTTCCACTCATTCTCGCTGCCTGTGAGAAGAACTCAAGACCTAATGCATGTCTAGCAAAATAGGTTTGAATTACAAACTTTCTTGGAAAGTACACTGGATTCAGAGCCTGCGACAGCACTTGCTGATGTCATTTTCTCTCGCTCTAATGCTCTTGATACCAAGTTGCCAAAGTAGTGTTTTTAAAGTTCGAGATTTTTTTCAAAAAGCCTTTTCCACTTTGGGTTTTTTGTTTTGCTTTGGTTTGTCTGTTTATTACAGAACAGTCTTGGCTTTGGTGTCCTCAGGTGGATGTGAATGAAATGTCAAAACCAAAGCGTTTGTATACATCCCAAAACAGCCTGCAGGGTCCCTTATTGAAAGGGAAAGCCATTTTCAAACTTGGTTTAAGAGTCAATAATAAATATTTCTAGTTAGACATGAACACGTAAAGTCGAGGTTTGTGTTCTGACAGCCTCTGCTGTCTCAGGCTGAAAAAATAAATAATAATAATAATAATAAAAATCAAACCCAACAATGTAAAGTAAGTGCACGGTGACCTGGAGAAGGAGCAAAAAATAAAATCCAGCAATTATAAAGTAAATGCACAATGATCTGGAGAAGGGGCGAACAGCGCAGGAGGTGGGATGGGGACCCCCCGTTTGCGACCCCGCTTATCAGCCGCACCTCCGGAGCAGGGATCGCTCCACAGAGCGTTCCGCGGCGGACCGACCTTTTATTTCCTTCTCAATTTTCCACCTCGCGTGAATAGCGAGCCCGCGGCAGCGCCGGGGGAGCTCGGGGAAGGAAGCGGGGGTTGGCCCTTACCATCCGTTGACTTCGTTCTGGGAGTTGAGGCCGACCCCCAGCTCCACGAGCCGCCGCACCTCCTCCGCGTCCCCCAGCGCCGCCGCCTCCCGCAGCCGCTCCTGCCGCTCCCGCTCCGCCAGCTCCGCGCCCGCCTCCCGCATCCCCGCCGGCGCCGGGCCCAGCGCCGGGACCCTCGGCCCACACCCCCGCGATGGGGGAACCTATTGCCGGTGACAACCCGGCCCCGACAGCCGGTTCCGGCGCAGCGCGGGGCGGGCGGGGCGCGGTCGCTGCCGCTGGCCGGCGGGACGGGGCGCTCCCGCGGTCATTTTATGGTATTTAACGTACAAATGTGTCTCCTGCCCTGCCTGTTGTTCTTGCGGGCTCTGCAGTCCTTACAGAATGACTCGTGGAATCGTAGAACGGTTTGGGTTGGAGGGGAACTTAAAAGATCATCTCGTTCCCCCTCCCCGTGCACAGGGACACCTTCCACTCGGCCAGGTTGCTCCAAGCGCCATCCAAGCTGCCTTTGAATACTTTCAGGGATTGGATATATTTCTAGCTCACTGAGTAATTTAAGTAAGATTCAGTTAACACAGTGGTTTTACCCAGGTTAAGGAAACAGTGTTATGATGGCTGCTGTTCTGCACTAGCCTGCTGCTGAAGAGGGTAAATGGAGGGATTCAGAAAAACTGGGTTTATCTGCTGGCTGCCATGAAAGGAGGTACTGAAGAGATTTTTAAGATTATGATAATATGAGCTGGGAGGGACCTTGGGTTAGGAGGGACATTAAAGACCATCTAATCCCAACCCCCTGCTATGGACAGGGACACATTTCACTGGACCAGGTTGCTCCAAGTCCCATCCAACTTGGCTTTGGAGACTTCCACGGGAGCATTCCATTGTTCTGCTTACGGAATTCTCACCATCTTTGTCCATTCTCAGCAGAATCAATCCCTAACCACCCTCGCTCCCCCTCCAAAATTAAAATAATCTACAGCTGTCCGCAAATCAGTTGAAAAGATTATAGATAATTCTTCCATTTGTATTGCTTAGTTTGAAAAGCTAGGTTTGGTCCTTGTGGATTTGTCCTAAATCAAGCTACAGAACAGTTGGTAAAAATTTCACAACTATTAAAAGTCAAAATAATTATTTTGAGCCACAGTCATACTTTTCTATTCCAGCCTGCTCTGTGCAGCCACACTGATATGCCAGGGAATTCTGCAGCAGTTCTCCAGGTGATACCTGTTTGCTTTCTCAATGCAATCGGAGCATACAAAAAAGCTGAAACAAGCCCAGTTCTGCCCCGATTTCCAACACAAACACCCGCCTTCCCTCCCGCCCCCAAACCCAGACTGTGGGATATTGACTGAAAATTCATGCCAGTTGTGTGGCATTGATTTCAGTTACACTCTTCCAACAGTTCCAGTGGGTTGTTAAATCATTACAAAATTGCAAAGCTTGAAAGAAGTTCCTGAAGGGAGGTGGTATGGGGAGATTTCCAAAAGGTAACTCCTCAGGTAACAGGGCTTGCATGAAGCCCTCAAGTGATGCTAAACAAGGCTGCTGCGAATCTTGTAGGTTTTACAAGAGCTGCATGAATACAGGCTTCAAGCTCTTAAAAAATATTATTTATTTAAAATTTTAATTCATTTCATGCACTTAAGTGGTTCAAAACGATGCTGAGTAACTAGAAAATAGTTGAAAATTGCTGTGTGAAATTCAGTACATATGAGGTATAAAATCACATCCAGAAAGGAAAACAACAAAATGGGCCAAAACTGGTTCCAAGGTCAAACAGAAAGATTTACATTAAATATGAAGGACACCCTGCAGCGTGTCAAATATGGGAACATGCTGCCCAGGGAAGTGGTGGAGTCACCACCCCTGGAAATGTTCAAAAAACATGTGGATGTGGCATTTGAGGACATGGTTTAGTGGTGATGGTACTGTTGATAGTTGGACTTGATGAACTTACAGGTCTTTTCCAACCTAAACTGTTCTGTGATTCTATGAATTCCTAAGGGAATACGCACAGCTGGAGGCACTCAGGAAAGGGAATACCCTCTGCCATAGGCACTTGGAGTGTCAGTAACCGTACCACACCAGGCTGGACACAGTCTTAAGCTGTGCCAGGGGAGATTTAGGTAGGACATTAGGAAGAAGTTCTTTACAGATGGAGTGATGGGGCATTGGAATGGGCTGCCCAGGGAGGTGGTGGAGTCGCCATCCCTGGAGGTGTTTAAGAAGAGACCGGATGTGGCGGTCCATGCCACGGTTGAGTAGACAAAGTGGTGTTAAGACAAAGGTTGGACTCGATGATCTCAGAGTTCTTTTCCAACCTAGCTGATTTTGTGATTCTATGACACCGCACAGGGCAGGACACTGTCTGCCATGACAGGACGCAGGGCCGGACACTGCCATGACACCACCCAGGGCTGGGCCCTGTGTAGCTCCCACCGTCCCTCACACCGACCCCCCCACACACACACAGGGGTGTCGCTGATCTCCGTTTCGCCGTTTCCAGGGGGTTCGCCCCCTCAGGCCGCTCCGCTCGCCCCGCGGCTCCCGGGGCCGGGCCACGAGCCCCGGCCGTGAGGGCCCGGCCCGCGCGGTGCATTGTGGGCAGGGCGAGCGCCGCCGCCATTTTGTCTCTGTCAGGCGCGGCGCGGGCGGTCGGGCTGAGGCGGCCGAGCCGGTGTGTGGCGAGGGGGGATTCGGCCAGGACGACACGATGATATCGGCCGCCCAGCTCCTCGACGAGCTCATGGGCCGGGACAGGAACCTGGCCCCGGATGAGAAGCGCAGCAACGTGCGGTGGGACCACGAGAGCGTGAGTGCAGCGGGGCCGCCTCTCCCCTCCCTCTTCTCGCTGCGCTCCCGCATCGCGCAGGGCCGGGGGGTTTGTCGGAGCGACAGGGAAGGCTTCTCCCGGCCTGGGAGCAGCCGCGAGAGAAGGGGGAGAGGGGTGAGGTGCCGGGCAGCGCGAGGGGTTCCCCGTGGTTTGGCGGGGTGCGGGCCGGGCCCTCCACGCTGGGCCCCGCATGGCGGCCGGGGGCGGGCCGGGCCCTCCGTGCGCGGGAACCGCGCCGGGCCCTCACCGGGAGCAGCAGGAGGAGGAGGAGGAGGAGGAAGAATAAGATACCGCCACAGCCAGGCTGTTGTTGTGCTGCTGGAGGGACAGCCCCGTTGTTTGGGTGTCGGCGGCCGGGGCCGCGGTTAACGGGAACGGGGGGTCCGAGAGGGCCGGTGGTGGCGGAGCTTTCCCGTAGGGAAACACAAACACAAGGCGGGGAGAGAGGGCGAGGTTGAAGGAATTCTGTGCTTCTCAGTAGAAGCTGCTGGCTTGCGCGAAGAGGGATGAGACAGATGTTCGTAGTTTGGAAGACAAATGTCTCTGGATCTCTTCCTGAGGGTGGTTTTGGGGGAGGAAGCAGGAGGGTCTGGGAGTACCGGCTTTAACGTGTGGAGGTTGTAGCTTTAGAAAAGCCGTAAGACTTTTCTAACTGAAGCTTTGGCTAAGAAAAGCTTGATTCTTTTCATACCTTCTCAGTTAGAGGAAGGTGTTTGGAGGGGGGGCACACAAACATAAACACGACTGTTGTTTTGCAGTACTTACGTAGTTTTGTTATTGTGGTGATTCATTTATTTTCTGCAATAAGTAGCCCAAACAAGACTTTAATTATTCTTACTGTTATTTCGGAGTGGGGTTTCTCCGTAGGGATGTTGAAGCTTTAATGAATGATGGCTTTTAGTGACGGCCATCATAGTCGCATTGTAGGTTATTTCAGAAAAAGTCAGTGGTAGCTACAAAGTTCCTGTAGCTACTTCTTTAGGAGAGATAAACACTGATGTATTTTTTAATTTTATTTCCCTCCGCTCATGATGTATTTTTCGAGTTAAAGTGTCACAGTTACAATAATTTATCACCTATGCAATGGGAATTTCTGTGGTTTAAGCTGCACAAAGCATTTGGCTCCTCCTCCTTTAGCATTTTCTTGGGATGTTGTTAAATTGGGAGGAGGGAGAAATGCTTGGGTTTGACTGTTCTAAATTGCATCTTAATCACAGAAGTGGGAATTTCATGTTTTTAAACGAGATATGTCATTATTAGAATGGATAGTACACGTTTGAATTTGCCTTGCAATGCGCGAGATAAGGACCAGTATCTGTCCTGCCATAGATTTTGCAAGTGCAAGTCCCTCCCTTGAAAAATGCTGCTCTATAGGTAAGCAGTGGGAGTCAGGAGGAAATTGTGAGTTCAGGAAGTTTTCATGACCTTCTTTATGTTTTTCTAGACTTACTAAGCAAATATCATTATTCAGTTAAGTGTTCAGTTACATTTTCTTTTGATTGTGAGCTCGAATAAGAAGGACTTACATGAAATGTGTGAAATGTGAAGTGAATGGCTTGAGCTGTGTTGGTCCAGGTAGGACAAATAAGGGCTTTGGTTTGATTTATTCCTTAATGTGAGAAAGACTTTTTTCTTGGTGGTTTTATTTTTTTTTCCCCCCCATTCTCTTTTAACGAGTTTGGATTATTTTCTTCATCCTCAGATGAGCAAATCATAGAATATTTTCAGGGGTTTTTTCACTTGCAGTTTTAGGCTGAAGAGTTTGTCTATAAACACAGGACTCTGTCTCTAAGCTCTTGCTCAGTTCTGTTGTTTCAGAAATGGGCCTTGTCTCTCCTTCCCAGCCCTCCGACAGTTCAGACAGTAAGATCTGTCCTGTGTCTGAGTCCAGCAGGAAAGTTATGGCCTTAGGGTTGAGCCTTCAGTTTTGCAGGAGCTGCTGCTCTTTGCTCACCTTTTGCTTTTATTTATAAGTTTATAGGATCATAATTAAACACAGCTTCTGTGAATGTTTTCCTAGGTTCCTGTAGTCAACTGACGAGTTCATAAAACCCAAAAATTACTGCTGTTAAAACACGTGTTCGACTTTCTGCATCGCCTAAAGATTCAGTTTGCAGTGGTGACATGTTTTAAAACACAGGAAACGCAGATGAGGTTCAGATAGTAACGTTCATTCCTCTGCCTGACTGCTCTTCTTTCAGATGAAATACATACACTTATGTAGTTTCTTCTGAGATTAGACATAAACATGCAGCCATTTCAATGTCAACACGTTGTATTCCTCTTAAAGTTTAGAATTTTGTGTCACATTTCATCAGTTTTAGGCATAGAGTATTATCAGAAGGAGCTGATCTGTATTTTGTTTATCATTTGGAAATTGCATCTAGGTGGCTCTGAGAAACTGGAAGATGCAGTGAAATACAAGATGGGAGTGGAAGAGGAAGGTGTGTGAGCAGAGTGTGTGATAGCTGAGCATTTATTTGCAGAACCAGTGAAACATGTTGATCATATATTGTAAATGTGTTGTAGAGCTGAAGTTCTTACTTTAAAACTTTGACATGATTAAAAACTTTAATCTTTAAAAATTGGAGTCCCACTTGCTCTATATTTCAGTATTGCATCATGTCCTTAGGTGATCAGTCCTGGTTTTGGCATAAAGGCTTTGTTTTGTATGAGGGAGGTAATTATTTGTATCATAGATTTCAGTTTCTCTGCTTACTTTTAAGTGTATTTCTGGAACAGGAACTCTATTGATTCACACATTGCTGCTCTAATGTGCTACCTGCACAAAGCAGGCTCATACAGAAACAGCGATTGCGTAAGAGTTCAGAGGCTGTTCTGTAACACAGGAGAGTCCAGCATGGACTGCCTGTGCTCTGTGTAAGGCTTTGAAATTGTGGTGCTTCCTTCAAGGCAAATTCATGTTTTCAGAAGGCAGGGAGGGGTGAAGAGCATGAGAAATAACTGTAAGCCATTATCTCTGATAATGTAGTTTCTCAAAATGAAGGTTCTGTTTTCAGAATATGATGTGATGGTTTTAGGTATTTATGATGTGTTACACTTTTCTTTTTATAATGCCAGTGACCTAAACGCATCTAGGTAGAATTTAAGGACTTAATCCTTCAGGGGATGGAGGGAGAGGACTTAAGTGTTATTTTTTTGGAAGAATATTAGTAGTGGAATGTTATCTGTAAGAGTGGATTTGGACGAAGGGCTTGTGTTTGTTTAGGTTTGGGTGGGCGGGCATTGCTCATAAAATGTCTGATGCATGGGAGCTTTAATAGTTTCAAAGAACTAATATGTGTGAAGGAATTTACTGGGTTTTGATGTGTAAGCCATAACCTGCTGGATATTATTCTCAGTCTTTTTACTAAGAATTGTCTGCCTAAAGGAATTTGCTTACATAATTGTTTGTCATTGTTAGAGAGATACTTCTCTGTCAGTAAATAGATTTCTTGCAGAAGAGAAACATGTTAATGTAGAAGCATTAACCATGGAGAGCTGTCAGTAGCTTCTTTATGTGGGAAAGCTTTGATCTGCTTCCCAAACTCCAGAGGAGCTTACAGTTCTTGTTGTTAACTTAGTGGACATCGAGGTAAAGGATACTGCTTTCCCATCTCCAGGAGATTTCAAGGATTAGTGAATTTGAGATGAAGAAGTGGAAAGTTCCAAGTGCCTGTGTTTGTTCCAGTGTCTTACCGAAATGTGAGATCCCAGGGGCTTTGAGACACAAGCTGTGGCTGATCCTGCTGCAGCACTTTGACAGTAACATTTCTGTTAAACCTTCTTGGTAGTGTTCTCAGAATAATTCAGCAGAAAGGAATAAATGGTTGTTACCTGCCTAGGGAATTATCCATATTGAACTGCCTGTTGCTCTGTTCCTGCATATATAGCATGTGTTTCCATATTACTTGTGCTAAGTGCAGCAAACCATGGACGAGTGATGTCAATGGAAGCTCATCAGTCACCTCTGTTTCGGTCCTTTAATGGCTCCGTGATGCTTCAACCATTCCTTGTCCCTTTCTGTTCTTGCTCACCATTGATTATTTAGAACTCACTGTGAGGGCAGTTGAGGGTGTGTTCGGCTGGGAAGGCAGATGCTCCACACGTGGTGAAGCTGAGCTGGAAGCAAGATTCTGCAGGATTCTAGCAAGTTGTGGGTTTCTGTTGAAGCACTTAATGAAATAGGTATGAGAGGGGGAGAAAATTGCTGCAGACACAGTGGTCTGAATCACTGGGAAGTGAGTATTTCTCTGCAGGTGCTTTCTAGGAGAGAATGTCATGTAATTCACTGGGTGCAATTCTAGTGCTTGAGTAGCAGTGGCCAGAGCTGGTAGGAGAAAATTATGGTAGCTTTTCAGTGTGGACAGGCTTTGTCATCATTTTGGGTTTGGGTTTTTTGTGTTTGTTTGGGTTTCTAATATAAATAATTGAAATAGTATGTGACTACTAAAGCTGTATATTTTAGTATTGGTTACTACAAATTTTCGCTGTTACCATCTCTTCATAAGGGGAGGCTTTTTCTAGGAGTGCTGCTTTGTAAAGCAATTTTAATTATTTCTGGTTTTGGATGGGGGTGTTTTTGTTTTGTTCATCATGCTTCTACATCTAATAACTTTTCCTTTGCTCCTTTTGTTGCTACTTGTTTCAAAAGTGTTACAGGGCAGTTTGCATAGTTTTTCAGTTGATAAGAGATACTCTGCGACTTTTTAGCAGCATAATACAGTCAGACTGTGCTCTCTGTGTCTTAGGGAATTTCTAATCCATCCCTGAAATTTTTTACCACGTGCCTTTTCACTGATCCTGAAGCTTGGATGTGAGGATGAGAATATGGTGGAAGAAGCTAACGTAGAGAGAAATTAAGTGTCTATTGACAAGTACGGGAGTTCATACCAGGAACCGTTTCCTTGAAAGAACTTGATATTAGAACAAGGGATATTGCAGCTTTCAGAGAAGAGACCGGATTCAGAAATCAGATTTTGTCCACTATCTTTCTCCTTGCTTCTGAGGAGAAAAAAAAAAAATTTGATTTTATGTGTTTTCTTAACTGTTCTTGATAAAATACTTCAAATAGGTGCCAGTGTCCTAACCTGGATTGTGGGAGAAATATTCACATTATATAAATGAGAGATGTTTTTGTTTGTTTGTGTTTTGCGTCCATGGCTTGTTAGTAGATAGCCTAATTGTTTTTCTGTGTAATCTGTAAAGCAGTAAGTAGAGTTTTAACTTCCACAGCCTGATTTGCAGTCTGGCAGTTAGCATGGAAAAATAAATCAGACTGATCTAATTGGGACAACTGGTGTCACAGGCATTTCAGTGAGGTGGTGGTGTGGGGTAGGTGTGGAGTCTTTCTCCTCACCCCCATTTGTTAAAATACTTCATATTTTATCTTGGGAAATAATAGGTTGCAAATCTTTGTCCCTGGTGTATGTGAGAGGATCAGGCAGTTGTAATAGTGGTCACAGTTATTAGATTTGCCAAATATTAGAAAGTGGTGTAACGTTAAGGAGGTGTTGGAAGAATGTCCAGGCTAGTTTTGGATTTACACCTTAGGTAATGGCAGTTGTGTCTCCATTAAGGGTCTAATGAAGAGTTAATTATTTAAGGAGTTTATGAAGTTAGGGGTGAAAGGATTTCTGATTTCACCCTATTTGGATATTCTGATGGATAGGCAGGAGATATTCCTGTGTTATGAACTTCAGGAACTGACCAACTTGACTAGCTAAGCCCATGCTCACGGATGAGGATGAATAATCTTTTTAACAAAAGCTGGTTTTATCCCATCATATGTTAAGTCTTAAGCTAGACTTAACAGGTTGGTGGTTTTTTTGAACTTTCTGGTGGTGTTTTTCTGTTATCAAAACCTGGTTTGATAATGTAAAACCAGACTTTGCAGAAACAAAGCAAACCCTTTCTAAGTTGGCAGGAAACCAGGTTAAAAGGAGTGTCTTCTCTGCCTTCCTCAAGAGGTGTATGATGTCTCCTTGCCTCTCATTCCTAAAGTAGGGATTTTTAAAAGCACTGGAGTGGGAAAACTTCTGGATAGTTACCATACATGTTCTTAAGTGTTCTAATTGCTCTCAGAATCCTTGAGTCAGTACCTGGTGTTTGAGTGCTGGTGGCTCCTGTTCTCCAGGCCAGGAGCTCTGAGGAAGTGAAGCCTGAACACAGAGGTGTTCCCAGCCAGCAGAGGAACTTGTTCCACACTTCCATGGCAGACATTGTCACTTCTTGTAGCTTTGCACACTTAAAGAATTTCATTCTAACTTATTAAATAGTCCAATCTGATATAATTCCTCTGGAAATAATCAAGTATTTATATTTATAAATTGGTGATGCTTTTGTGTAATCTTAAATCTTTAATGGTAAAATTAAGAAATACTGTTATTGCAAGGGAAAGTAAGATTTTTGGTGTTTTGTCATCAAGATGCACTTTGTAGCACTTACTGCTGCCAAGAAATCCAGAGGGTTTGTAAAATTTTCAGAAATTTTGTGGTGTACAAAGGAAAGATTCACACAGTATTTTAGAAATAGTGTTTACCTAAAATTACCAATTCAAGAGACAAAAAATAATGCCTGTTTCTTTCTTCTCTCCTGTCAGGTTTGCAAGTACTACCTTTGTGGCTTTTGCCCAGCTGAATTATTTACAAATACCCGTTCTGATTTAGGTAAGTTTATAAGTCTTGACATTTTTATTCACTTACATGTAATTACAGTTGAGCTTTTGTTTGCAAACTACATTTTAATTGTTAATTGCTCTGTCAAGATGCTTTGAAAACAGGCTTTTTTATTCTTAAAGTCTTGCCAGTGATATAATATGCTAAGAACAATATTTATTCCAGTTCCTACTTTGTCTAAGTGGAAAAAGCTTTATAAAAAATTTTATGTTACAGTGTAAGCTAAATTACTGGATTGGGGTGGTTTTCTCCTGCTGAAGTGTTGACTTCTAGTTTGACTTACTCTGCCTGGGCAGGGTTTTAACTATTTTTGTGTGAATTTCTTATTGAGCTTCTTTACTTTAGAGACTCACCTACTGCAGTAGTTATTTCTGAAAGCCAGCTCTAAATTACTGATGGCTTTCAAGCAGTGGTAGTTCGGAGATGGTAAGTAAGATTTCTTGTCTTAGAGTTAATTTCTAAGTTCATTGAAGAGTTTGAGAATCTGGGGAAAGTGGGAAGTTTTAACATGACTACCTTCATGAACTCAGGGCACATACCTCCTAATATTACTCTGAAGATCAGTGTTTTAAGTAGTCAGCTTGTTGCAAAGAACACTGGAAATTAGTGCCTGATAAAATTACCCTCCATATGTAATTTTTCTTTAATTGTTTTTAAGACGCCAGGTGTTTAAGATATTACATTGTTTGTTGGGATTTACTGATGTAAAACTTGATCTGGAAATTTCTGTTTTACGTGAAGACTTTGTATGTCACTCAGAGTCTGTTTTGGTTTTATAATTGCTAAACCATACTGGCATTTTTTTCCTTTAATGTGTCTTTCAAGCTCCAGGCAAAGGAAGCAGAAAGGCAGAAACATAAAAGTCCCTGGGAAGTGTTTGTAGCTCTGTTCTCTCATGGTGCACAAACAAATGCTGAGGGAATGTGAATACACCACTCAAGAATGCAAACTTAAACTTTTTGTGTTGTCTTTTTAGGTCCTTGTGAAAAAATTCATGATGAAAATCTACGTAAACAGTAAGTGTGTTGGTTGATATATTAAAGCAAATAGTATTTTTGTTTGAAATTTGTTAAAAGCAACCCAAACACGACAAAGTAATTGCTTTTTGATTTATGTAAACATTTATATAAATGTATAATACTCTCTTACTGAGAATTTATAATATCGTGTGTTTTGTTAACTTTATTTTTCGTCTGTGGTGGATTGATGTGAGCTTTTGTTTGTAAAATGTTTTACAGGTATGAGAAGAGCTCTCGGTTTATGAAGGTGGGCTATGAAAGGGACTTCCTGCGCTATTTGCAGAGTTTGCTGGCAGAGGTGGAGCGCAGGATCCGGAGAGGCCATGCCCGCTTGGCACTGTCACAGAACCAGCAGTCGTCTGGGGTGAGTCTGGAAGAACCACTGAGGCAGCTTTTCCTGCAGATAGCATCTTTGTGGTCCCTTTACCTTACCTTTCCAGGTGAAACATACTGTTCTAGAAGATTCCCTGTAGATGAGTCTCTTCATCTGTTAGCCAGCAGGTTGCATCAAGCCCTAATGGATGAGCCAAGTGGCTCCACAATCAGCCAGAGCCCCTCTCTTTTCTCCCCATCTGTTTATTTAGAATCAGTATCTCTTTTCTGCTGGGAATATTAATCCTGTCAAGTATTGTCTTTGCCCTGACCACTCCAGTTTACCTTCTCTCCCTTAGCTGAATATTTCTCCTTCCCTGCACTAGTAAGCTGTATCTTTTCCCATGATGGGTTTGGAGCAGTGACTGTGGCCCGTGCTCTGTGAGTTTTGTGACTGCCAGGACAGCCTTGCTTCTTTTTACTGCCCCACCTAATTGTTCTGTGCAAAGTGCAGATGCTTCAGAAGGAGCTGTGAACAGTATCGAGTCAAGAGAGATATTGACTGTGGAGCAGAACAAAGGTGGGAGGGAGGCAATAGGTCTAATTTGGTAGCCTGCAGAGAGGACACTGCTAACAAAGCTACATCTTGGAAGTGAGATTCTTTTTGAATTTGTACTCAGAAGTTGAAGTTCAAAGCCCACGGAACTTCTAAGTCATACTTGAATGCCTGCAAAGATATGTAACAGTTGCATGACAGTTTCAGAGTTTAAATTTAGGACTTGGAATTTGGATATCTTACCTTTTATGGGCCAGGACCTTGAACATTTTTGTTGATTTAGGAGGAATTAGTGTGACTAGACTCAACAAGGGTGGAGTAAGCTGTGTCAAGCAGTGTTTTATGTTAGAATAGACTATTATTAGTAGCTTCTTGTGGGAGAAGAGGCAGGAGGACGTTATTCCTGAAGTGTCTCTAAAATATGAGGGGACATACCTTTGTGTTTTAAAGCTGTTTTAGCAAAAGAGGAAAAACCAACAAGCAAACAAAAAAACCCCAACTCACACTTGTACTGTTTGCAGGGAGCGGGACCTACCGGTAAAAACGAGGAGAAGATTCAAGTGTTAACTGACAAAATTGATGTACTTCTACAACAGGTGAGGATTTTATAACCCCCATAAGAGAGATCTCTTGCTTTTGTTACTTGATCAGAAGTTTTACACTTGAATTTTTTTATTGTCCTTTAGATTGAAGAACTGGGTTCAGAAGGAAAAGTGGAAGAGGCACAAGGAATGATGAAACTTGTTGAACAGTTAAAGGAAGAGAGAGAATTGCTGAGATCTACAACTTCAGTAAGTAATGTGTTTGTTTTCTGACAGACATTTCAAAATTTGGTGCAGCAGTACATTCTGAATAACCTTGTCCTTCCACTGAAGGCATGCAAGGTCTGTGCAGAATTGATTAGATAATAACAGGGCTTTTAAACATGTTAGTCCAATGTGTTATTTTGCATTCCACCTTGACAGTGGGTGTCCTGCACACAAATTGTGAAATTATTCACCCAGCAGTCCTGGAGGTGAGCTTGCACCTTACTCTAGTTCTGGTCTCAGTTAAACTTTGTCCTGTAGCCTCTGCAATATAATTTTACTGAATTACCAGTGTGACTGTTACACAAAGCCCTTGTGTCAGGGCTGTGACTACAGGCAGGCATCTGTCGGACTGTGAGAGCCACAGAGGGAATGTGTTACGTAGCAAATCCCTGTCAGTAAAAAGGACCTTAAGTTTAAACATTATATTTTGATGTTTAATGAAATGCTCAAATTGACAGTCTTATTTTTTAAAAATTTTAACCGTTGCAGGCAGTGTGTTTATATCCTTAGTGTATGATTCATGACCATTGTACAGCAGTAATCACACTTGGGTTTATGCTGAAATTTCAGTGTGTTTCTCATATGTCTGTTGAATCAATTTGACTGTCATCCTTTTAAAGAGAAGCTCAGCGTTCCTCTTTTTTATTTCTTTCATGGGATATTCTAGCCTTTCGATTCCTTGAGACATATTCCATGGCTATTGTGCAGCTCCTGACATCTCAGTTGATGCAAAAGAAATCATCTTAAAACTGAAAAGGAAAGCTGTAAAAGAAAAACTTAGGATTTTGTTTTTCTGAGATTGCAAGGAAGCTGCAAATATTACTGTGTACATATTAATGCAGTGAGAAATAATTCTGTGGTTTCTAATGGACTCCTTCCTTGTGTCTCACATGGAATGAATGGTGTAGGTATCCTGGTTTTGCCCTGTTCACCCTGATAGGTGCAGTGCCCTGAAGACAAAGCAGGCAGATACAATTTTCAGCTTTCATTAGTGCCTGGGGTTTGACAGCAGTAACAATAAAGTTCTAAAACTCTTCACTGGCTTCTGGCTAAAACTTTTTTTTTCTTTTGCCTTATCAAATGTTTTTCTTTTCTCTAGACAATTGAGAGCTTTGCAGCCCAAGAAAAACAAATGGAAGTTTGTGAAGTTTGTGGAGCCTTTTTAATTGTAGGAGATGCACAGTCCAGGGTAGATGACCACTTGATGGGAAAGCAGCACATGGGTTATGCCAAAATAAAAGCTACTGTAGAAGATTTAAAAGTAAGTATTTCCTCCAGTTATTGAAGGTGCTAAAATTGATTGGAAGCTTCCGATGATACATAAGAGGCTGTCCAGTGGACTTCCTCAAGAGGGTGAAACACTCCAAGGAATGGAATCCTGCACTGCACATTTAGGACTGTGCTTGACTTGACGTGCTTTGTTGTATGTGATTACACCAGGTACAAGCAAAGATGTAAATTCAGGGGGGAATTTTTATGGGTTTTATAGAAAACTGTAGTGTGGCCTTTGTTCTTGAGAGAATGACAAGCAAAATAAGTTCCGCAAGACAAAGGATGTTCATGTCAGGGATTTTTAGGAAGTGCTGTCCTTTGTTTAGAAAATAACACTGAAATATTTTAAAAGCTTAAGCTTCTACATCCTCAGAATCTATAAACTAAGTATATTCAATGATTTAGCATGACTAATCTTCATTTCTTCCTCTGAACTTGTTTTTTAAGGAAAAGTTACGAAAAAGAACAGAAGAACCTGACCGTGATGAAAGGTTGAAAAAAGAGAAACTAGAACGAGAGGAGAGAGAGAAAGAGAGAGAACGGGAAAGAGAAGAGCGGGAAAGGAAGAGACGGCGTGAAGAGGAAGAAAAGGAAAAAGAGAGGGCTCGTGATAGAGAGAGACGTAAAAGGAGTCGCTCCCGGAGCAGACACTCGAGCAGAACATCTGACAGAAGGTGCAGCCGCTCACGAGACCACAAAAGGTCAAGAAGCAGGGAGAGGAGGCGAAGCAGGTACATGTGTGTGTGTCATGTATGTTCATGTAACTTTCCAAAAGTTAAAATCTTGATCTGTCAGCCTGAGTCACATCACTGGTTTGTTAACTTCACTTTCTTATCTCTTAAGCAAAGACACACTTCACTGGTTCTAAGGATAAGCAAGTTTTTGCTGCGTGTTCACTGTCTTCTCTCCATTTTTAGAAGTAGATTACACCATTGTGGTGGAAGTGGTTTTATGAGGGAGCTCATAAAAATGCTCCCAAAGAACAGGGTCTTGTTTCTTACTGAAGTTGGCCTTTACTTCTTGGTGGTAGATATTTTTAAGCTGTGTGGTTAAACATTGGAGTAAATGAAGAGGGCAGTATGAAACCAAATCTAATTGTACTGAGAATTATTTATATACAATATGTTAAGATTTCTTTTCTGCAAATAATCAATATATTAGAAAGTGCTACTGTTTCACTGCTTTATATGCTGAGTTAGAAAACAGCAGCTGAGATTGACACTTTTGAAATTTTCTCTGAATGTTCAGGAGTCGTGACCGAAGAAGGAGCAGAAGTCACGACAGGTCAGAAAGGAAACACAGGTCTCGCAGCAGGGACAGGAGACGGTCAAAAAGCCGGGATCGGAAATCCTACAAGCACAGAAGCAAAAGCAGAGAGAGAGAACAAGACAGGAAGTCTAAAGAAAAAGGTATGTTTGTGTAAAGACTGAGTTCATAGCAAGTTCTAAAACTAATCTTCCCTTAGGGTCTCAAAAGCTCTTAGTCTTTCAGTGAGTGACTGAAAGCTCTTAGCATCAAATCAGATCTGGTTTTATAAGCTGTATATGTTACTTTTAACCAATGTGGAGCATTTTTTTTCAGTTACTGCACGTGTGTGCATATGTACATCCATCTCTTACCTGTTGCACTTTGTCTGCAAATGAAGTGTTGCAAGGATTTTTATATATTTTAACACCTGTTTACCTTTAGGAAAGCATAAACCTGTAATCATCATTTTCTAAGAGTGAGTGTCTTATATTCTTACTGTTAGCAGATTTTTCTGATATTAGCCTTTGCAGGTACTTGTTTTGTGGGAGATTGGTACCTGGCTTTTCACCTGTACCATCTATTACTTCTTAACACTGTCATGTTTCCTTTCTTATCCTTTAACAGTACTTTTAAGGTGGTTTGGTTTTTTTTTTTTTCTTCCAATCTATGAATGCAGTCCAGGATAAATCTTGCAGAATTTCTGTAATGTTGTAAATGACAATTCATGCCTTCTCCCCGGTCTCCTGCTCTTTCCCCAACCCTCCTCCCTTGTTTTTTTTCTGGGTTTTTGTTTGTTGTTTAAATGAAGTGAGTTTTGCTTTGTCGGTATTCAGGTGAGTCTCAAGAGAAAGCTGTGTTAGTCCTTGGAATGCTTTTATAGCTGTACATGCCATGTACCACAGCACTGATGGTGACTCACTGCTTCACCAGAAGCTGGTGCTCAGAAATTTAAGTAGAATTAAAAAGAGCTACAGAGAGAACACTACAGATTCCCATTTTGTGAGAAGATACTAATTAACTGTTATTGCTAAATTTCCCCCTTTTAAAGTCTTTTGAAACTTCTGGAGGAACATAGTACTTCTGGCTTAAACCACAGGCTCTGGGGAGCTGACTAATGCCAGTCTGAAACAGCCACCCCACTCCATGGGCTGATCATCAGTAATGGATGAAACTATTCTTTTATGTTTCTAAGGTACTTTTGAGGTTCTCTGGAATGAAAGGTGCTCTGTGCATGTTTCTGGATTCCATAGGCCTGTCTGCCCGACCCTTACTTCTCCATATTTATCCAGCGGGTTAGTTGCCAATATGTTGGTAATGCTTCATGTGTTTTTCTTGCCTGACTTCCTTGGACTGTTGTAATTTTTCTGGTTTATACTATGGGGCATCTTTAGTATTGATTCTTTTCTCACTTTCCTTTGCCTTATAGGCAAGTGGTTTTAGCTGCTTGCTCGTTGGCAGTGGAACTGATTGCAGGCTTTAAACTCAGACTCAGTGTTGTAGCCTTTATCTGTACTCTATTCCTACCTGATACTGTGCCCTTTTTGCCTGCCTTATGAACAGATTTCTGGTACTTGGTCAAGAATGTCCTGTTCTTCTGAATGTGTGTATCTGTGCATATAAATAACTGTTTTCTTATTTATTCAAATTTGCTCTGGTTTTGAGCTTTTCAGTTCTTTCCTTTATCTCCCCATAAACAGAGGAGCTAGTGAATTTTTCTTCAGCATCTCAGTATTTTCAGTTTTAACTTGACTGATTTCTTTGCTGGCTGTTTTATTTGCTGCTTGCTACTTTCTTCCTCCAGAAATGAGAACAGTGAGGTGATGCTATGAGCTGTGATGAAAATTCCACCTGGGAAAATCAATTACTTTGTTTGACTACGCAGTCCTAACTTTTGTAGAAACACAAGTAGGCCTTAGAGCAGGATTGTAATGCTGAAGAAGTTTGTGGGTTTCCTTCTGCTGGAAAAACCTTTAACAGAAAAAAAAATACAGAAAAGGTGTGGGAGAGGAAAAAAACAAGGCAGTAGTAGTTATTAAGCAAACATTGAATTTCTGTAAGCATTACATCCTCATGTTTGCAATGTGGCACTGTAGGTAGGTAGTTAAGGGGGAGCTTTAGAGATTCATATATTTGAAGCATGTGGCTTCCTGCTCTACTCTTTGCACAAAAAGTAGTAATATAGAAGTTAAGATTTCACTTGCTACATTTGATGCTCCATTGGGAATATTGGCTTCAGAACCTGGTTGTCTTTATAGCCACCACTGATCTGCAGTTACAAAAGTAAGCAGCAAAGGCCTGGCTGTAACTGCTCATGTAGTGCCTTTCATCTGGAAATCTCAGGCTGCTTTATAAACAGGACTCTTAACACCAAAAAAACAAGGCACAGTTGCCCAAGGCTTGCCTACCATTACACATTAAATTAGTGCCACACTTTAAAAATTCAAAAGTTCTGGCTTCTTGTTCACTAAAATACTGTAGAAGACAGTAACCAAGGTTGTAAGAAAAAAATCCATGCTAAAAGGAAGGCACTTAATTTGTGACTAAGCTTCCAGGGACAGGGATACATTTGCTAAAGGAGGGAGCCACCAGCCATAAATACCAGCTGAAGCATTAGCTTAATGTAAACCAGCAAAACACAACTATTGTTCAAGTAAACTAATAAGAGTAGATGGAATAAATAGGGGGTTTTAATAAGAAAAGGAAAACTGTTCTCCAAGTACCTTTATTTTATGAAGGGTTAATACTGGAATGGGCCTCCAGACCACTTTAGCTTGGCTCTTTACCTTCCTTAATCTGGATTCTGATACTTATATAAGAGTAATTGTGATTGTGTTTTTGTATTAGTGATTAAACCTCAGCAAACACTGCCAGAACACCCAAACCCTCAGTGATACTGGATATTATGTTTGACTGATTTTTGCATTCTCTGAACAGTAGAACCATTCACTTTGTCGTGGTAAGAATTCTCACAAAATACATTTCAGTTGCCCACACGAACTCCACTAGAAAAATGTGCATGTGTTGAATCAGGAAGCAAAGTCAATATTATGTGATTATACCTAATAGATCACAGCTGAAATAACACACACAGTTTCAATAGAAAACTAACTGTATATGCTTTTAAAGAGAGAACTCTTACTGATTAAAAAAATACAGTGGAGGAACGTAATTTCTTGCAGATATTCCAGAAGTTGAAAAGTTCAGTTATTGAACTATTTGTTGAATACACTTTTTCAGTTCTGCTTGGCGAACTGGAGGTTTGCTCTGGTAAACCTGTTTTATTACTAAAATTTTTTAGAAGAGTTTCATCTTTCATACCACAGTTTAATAATAGATTTTTTTAACCTTAAACCAAGTTATCCTTCCTGACCAAACTCAAGAAAACAAACAAGACAGAACAAAACCCTGCACACTGCACATCCATAGGGCTATTAAGATCTACCATATCTACATAGGACAGAAGATAAGATTATTGGACTGACTACTAGTCCTCTGCGGGGAAACAAGACTACTATTCCTCAGTGGATCTACGTGTGCTCCGGAGATACCTTTAAGACACAAAACGAAGACTTTTTAACAAGGTTAGTTAGAGTGCAATCTGCCTGCGGAGTTGCAAACCCGAGGGCAGACAGATCCAAAGTGACTTAGTCCTTCAGTGAGCCGTGTGACGTTGCCGTGTGCTTTCTCCAAGCACCCTGCCCTGGATGTGCTGCTGCAGGTGAACCCTCAGTACTGGTGGTCATTATTAGGCAGTTGCCCTCATTTCTGCGTGGGGACCTTACCCCTCCCTTTGGTGGTCTGGTTTAAAACAAAAAAAGGTGGGATGTTGCTGCTCTTTTAAAAGCTTAATTTCTTGCTTTGTCTTCTGGAATATAAAAAGTGTGTTAAGCCAGTCTAGGTGATAACGTTATTTAAAATAGCTTTTTCAGAGTGTTCGATCTGTGGGCTCCTGTGTTGGGGATTTATGTGTCTGTATTATTTATTTTAATTGCCCGGATAGCAGGGAATAATCAGGAAAAAAAGAGCATGAATGTTGTTCTGTATGATGACATCTGAGAGGTTGGTTTTTTGGATTATTTTTTCTCTCCAAAGTGTCTTTACTGATCAAGGGTTGAATATTATGGTTTGAAATAATACAGAAAGAATTGATATTTTTATTAAATTTGCAAATACTGAATTTACAGATGAGGCACGCAGCTCTAATACTGAATGTTTTTCTTCCCATGGAAATATTTTTACTTCTGGCTTCCTTCCTTCTTTGAAGATTATTGAGGAAAAGATGTTTTTTTCAGCAGTGTAGCAAATGCTTCAATCAGCTTTCCAATTCATGATGAAATTGTGGGGTCCTTCCCATCTTGCTGTTTCTTTGCCTTTGGAAAAAAAATGGCTTTTATATATCTTCCAAATTGCCTCCCCAAGCCTTTTTAATGAGTGGTTTATAAATGACTGATATTTTTATAAAATGGAGAATTAATAATGCTGACAAACAAGGCAGCTTCAAAGTTAATTTTGATTGTCACTGTGATCCCCAACTTCAAAGCTGACAGTGCTAAATATTGTTTGTTTCCTCAAGTATTTGATAGTTCGGGATTGCTGCTTTTTTAATTGGCAAGTATTGATTTCTTTGATAATGCACCAATGCATTGTCCCACCACTCTTTTCTGATTCTCTTTCAAGAACCATTCTTAATGAGAATTGTACACCAAAGAAGGCCATACACATCAGAAATTAAAACGTGGGGACCAAAAGAGTCCCAAAATAAGTAAGGAAGCCATGCACCATAATTACACATTTGCCTAACCTCTTTAACCCCCAATTTGTATATTTTGACAGAGAGCTGAGTAGCTGCCTCTGTTAGGAGGTCTGACCTTTCTCCTTTTCCCCCACCCTCCACTGTCCCCTTTTACCTTTATTTTGTCCCCTCTCCATTCCAGCATGGTAGTCTGAAGCCTGTTTCTGTAACTTTATGAGTATTACTGTTATTGCTATAAAAGTAATTGTCCAATATTGTATGCAATATGTATCTCACATGTGCAATGTTTGTTTTTACTTTGAAATCCATGGTCAATGTCTTCTTTCATGGCAGAAAAGAGGGGATCTGATGATAAAAAAAGTAGTATGAAGTCCAGTAGTCGAGAAAAACAGAGTGAAGACACAAATACAGACTCGAAGGAGAGTGAGACTAAGAATGAGGTCAATGGGACCAGTGAAGACATTAAATCTGAAGGTGACACTCAGTCCAATTAAAACTGATCTGATATGACCTCAGATCAGACAGAGGTAAGTGCATTATTTCAAACTTTGATTAGGGCTTTTTGTTACTGTTTAACAGTGCAGCGTAAGTATGCACAGATGAAGATGGAACTAAGTCAACTAAGAAGACAAACTAAAGCACCTTCTGAAGGAAAAGACAGTGTAGTCCTGCAAAACATTTTGAGGTACATTGTTTTGTCTCAGCTATTTTGTAGCAGACTCGTGCCCCCATTAGTGTGCCTCTTTGGGACATATTTGTAATATAGTCACCATAGAAAAATTAATTATCCTTTTTTTAATTTTTAGGGATTTTGTTATCGTTTTTTAAAAAAAAGTTGAACTGTTTTTGTATTTAAGTCCATATTGTGTTGGTACATCAGCAGAAACTTTTGCTTTAATACTTAATATTTGAGGCACATGTTGGACTACTTTGTTTTCATATAAACTGCTAGTATTTCTTTGTCAAGGATGTTTCTAGTTTTTTTGCTTTATTGCCTTGCATTCTAATGCAGTTTGTTCTGTAACTCGAGAGCCAGTAGCATTGGATTGATGGAAGTGTAGGGTTTATGAATTATTGCAGCTGACTACCATACCTCACACAGCGTTGGTGTTGTGAGCGGCCCATGAAAAGCCAAATTAAAAATCAAGGATTCAGTCAAACTAAGCAGGTACTCATGCCAGGTACTCCTTTCTCTACCCACATCCATGTTTGAATGCTGTTGCCTGTAATCTTTAAGCTTACTGTTGTGTTTTTGATTTTGAAGATAGTGCAAAGGACTTTTTTGTGTATTGTGTGAATACTGTAAATCTGATGTTAACAGAATGGAATTTTCTTTCAACTGTGTGTAGGGATGCAGTGCTGCCCAGAATTAGATATCTTTAAAGAGTTTAAAATGCAATAAACACTACATAATAATCGCCTTGTTACTTTCAATGCAATTCAAGTCTTTAAGAGGTATGTGCTTAATATTTCCTACTGTGTAGGAGAATTTGCAGTCAGCCATAGCACAGAGCAGTGGAATGGCTGGTAACAGGCTTGTAAGGCAGATGTAAATGCAGAGACAGATGCCACCAAATGATTACAGTGTTGATGGCAGGAATGTATGCTGGAAACTGTTTGTGGGAAATGAAGCAGCTAAACAATAGGCAATACAGTACTGTATTAAAAGGAAAACTTGCAGTTTTTTCCCCATGCTTGACATAGCTTTCTTACAGAAGGTCTTTAGTTGTATTCCTGAAGTAAGGAACTAACAGTGGAGAGTTCAGCTGATAAATGAGCTTCTCGCAACATAATTTGTTACTGTAGTTGCATTATGTATGCTAGGAACTCTTAAACACTTAATGTTGATAATTAAACCATTAATGCTACATCATTGCTTCTAAAGCCAGTCATGGTCAATGGTGATGTTTTTGTAGAGTTAAGATGACAGCTAACAATTGGGCCAGTGTATAGGAATGGTAAACAAAATGCTCATAATGCTGTCTAATCGTCTGTTCTCCCAAAATTTTGCATTATAGGACTACTACGTGAAGAGTCTGCGAAGACAGTGGAAGACAGCTTAAACTGAAGATCTGCTTTAAAATGAGGTGAAAGAAAGCTGTAGTGACGTAGAAAAATATAAAGTTGAGTTAGAATTTTTTTTTATAAAATTTAATTCAGGACTGGTGTTTCCTCCCAGAGTTCAGAAAGATGTGTTGATAATAGCACATATGCTACTGAGAATATAAGTCCTGTATACCTTTTTTTTCTTTAAGACTTTTTAAGATAAGAAGCCAACATAACCTGAACACATGGCTTGCTCAGTGTTTAATTGCAAGTTTTCATTCTTGGACTTTAAAACACAGGAATAAATGTTTAGTATTTGTGTGAATCGAACTAAAATGAATCCCATTTTTACAACTAAGCTATTCCTAGCTTCTTGATATACGAGAAATGGAAATAAAGTATCTTTGAATTTCTGTTACAAATTTGATTGTCTCTGTCATTGAACGTTTAATATTAAATAAGTTTCTTTCCTAATAAATCTACTCATGTCTTCAAGCTTAGTCCATTAATTTGGATGCTTAGTTATCTGTGCTGTTTGTGGGTTTGGAATTTTTTGGTGCCATCAGTATTTAATTTCAAGGTCACTTTTCTAGCAGTTGGATGCTGTTGGCTTCAGTGTGCCCTAAACAGTGCAGCTTATGCTGCAGTTGGTTAAATTATAGAAATCTTAATGAAAGTGTAGATATTAAGTCTTCACAGAGCAGTTCAACTTTGAAAGCCTTATTAGGAAGATGCCAGTGCTGGGACTGGCCATGAGACTGCCCCATATTTGCATTGCAGTATCCACTTGGGATATTAATTAACAATTAACCCTTTGCAGTTGGTAAGCAGAGTCTGCATGTGAGACAAATACAGGGGAAGGAGATGTGCCTCATGCTTCTGTGTGAAGCTGGAGTGCAAGCAGGACTAAAAGAACTGCGACCTGTACTAGTCAGTGCTGTGGCTGCAAGGCATTGAATTTACATTCTTTAAAAAGCATTATCCTTCCCATTAGTATTCAGGACATGACTGTCCATGTAACTGAAGTCAGACACGGACAGAGCACCATTGTGAGTTGCTTGTGCTGATTGTGGTGTGCCTTGTGTGGCCTGTGTGTGTGTGCAAGTGCACTCAGAATCTGCACGTTGGTCCCTCTGGTGACTAGTGCTGGGGTTTGGATAAGGGGATGACACCACTTGCAGACAGCCATGTTCCATTCTTGACTTTTATTGTTCTGAAGCAGGTACACATGCATGGGCACAGGGCATTGAGAATGGGTGTGGTGGGGGGGTTGGAAAAAATAATGGAAGTGGGAGCAAGTAAAATTATAACCAAGTTCTAATTGCAGACACATTCCTTTTGAAACCTGTGATGCAAGATTCAGCCACTTCTTTCAGTGGCAAAAATGGTTGTCTTGTACCTCCTACTGAACACGTTTGTTACAGGACTTATATGTCCCCTTATTTTGCAGAAGTAAAAATGATAAAATGGGGTACCTTGTATCTGGGATTCAGATTCTGACATGTCTGATAATGGAGTCTTTAGTGCTTTGAAGATGAAGGAAAGTTCTGTTTTGCAGAGAATAGGAAACCCGGGGCCTTTCTAGTAACTACGTCCAGATTTGACTGAACGAACATCTCCACCACAAGTTCATCTTCGTGAGAAGTATCTTCAAAGCTCAAGCCCAAGATAAATACCATCCCAGATTTTCTAGGAATGCTAAGCAAAATGCAAGTAGCTAATTTAAAAGTAAGCACCTCTTACGTGCTTTTTCTGTACTGTTTTTTGACAACCTGATAGTCTTTTATTGGGTGTTAAAAATGTACTGGCCTGCAATTTTTCAAAGTTGTGTTAAAATTTTAATAAGAGTATCCTGTCCACTCTAAAGTGACCCCCACTCTGTAAAAGAAAGAGATTGAAGTATTTGAAACAACTGATACTTTATTATAAGTGAAGAGTAGCAATATCAGTTCAGTACAAGTTTGTAGTGCAAACAGAAGCAGTCCTTGGAAGAACGGTAAGTTTTGTAAACTTAGTCTCAGTTGTCATACCAGCAGTTATTGTTCAAAGAATAAGACCCAACAAAAACCAGTTAACGTAATTAGTGTGCCTTAGAGTTTATCAAACTGCATAAAACATACAAAAATATTTCTCTGAATGCATAGACTTATTACTGTTGTTATTACAGTCAGATCGTGATTAAAGTTTAAGTCTTAACACATTAACAGTTATTCTTGGTGGAAACTAGAGCAAATAAAGCTTTTTTAAACCAGCTGCTCCTATAGCAGAATGTTCAGTAGTTAGTGGAAACAGTCCTTACACTGACTCCCTAAATAAAGGAACGGGAAATTAGATACTCTTATTAATTTAGAGCCATTTAACCACTACTGTTTTTCAAACAGTTATTGCACATAATCTGAGCTTACCTCCAAGCTATGCTGGAAAGATAAATACACAATTGTTAAAACCTCCTTTCCTGTCCTACAGAAAAACAAAGTGGGAGCCCTAGTTAGGAAATTTTACTTCATACTGTGTCACAGTCTTGAGCTTCCCAGGAGTTGAACGTGGCATTAAAGTAGCTCAGCTCCTGGCTGAGAAGGGCCAGGACTGAGAGTGGACAGTTAGCAGGGTTGAGGTGATAAGATGTATATGGGCATGTGGGGCAGAGGATGATAATTACTTTGAGTACAATAAGAAGGAATTTTAAGCCTAAGTAACTTGGTGAAATCCTGAACTCATACTCTCTGCTGGCAGAAGGGGTTTCTGTGTTTTCCTGGCATGCAGAAGATGTACAGACTGGGCTTGGGGGAGCTCCTCAGGGATAAAGCAGGACACTGGGAGGGTCTAGCCATGCTGCTCCTACCAAAACATGGTGCTGGTACTATTTATAGTCTAACTGTCGACACTGCAGTGCAGATCAACAACAACAAACACAGCACCAGCTGTGCAGAAGCTCTGCTCTAGTGCAGCTTCATAAAGCAGAGAGGGAAGGAAAATCAATACAATGGGGAAAAGGGGAGGGAAGAAAAATCAGCTCATGCAGAAAAAGTCCCTTGCTCCTCCACCCACCTCAGGACCCAGTTAAGGTTTTTGGTGCAAAGGTCAGCATCATAGTTTTTGGAACAAAAGAAAACAAAAAGCCTCCAAAGTGTAGCTTTGCAGGCTGCCACGTTAACAGGAAAAGCTCCAGCCTGTTTATACTCCAGCAATGCTGCGACTTAAATACTTTGTTCAACCCACAGATGGATGTTAACTGACAAAAAGCAATAGCAGACTACATTGTGTAAAGTTAAGGTTAGTTACTTGCTTGCGCTGTGTTTCCCACTCAGTCTGGCTCACAAGAGCATGGTTTGCTCCCTCCAGCTGTGATCCCTCACAAGGACACTTGTGCTTCCACTGCTCCTCAAACAGCAGAAACCACCACACACCCTGTAACTGCTGTGAGGGTGGGCCACAAACAGCTTACCTGACTGCAGGGGACTGACATCTGGTGGGAGCAGTAAACAAATAAAACCACAAATATAAACACAGATTGGGGGTCCCTTCCCTATCTCTTGAAGCATAAGGGCTTTCCCTTGAAAGAGCACTTCATCTTGTTTTGTGACTTAATTAAGGAGCATTTAAGAGAGGCTTCTGTAGTATCTGGTGGAGGGATGCCATCACTTCAGGTACAATATTCTCACATGGGAAAGAAACATTTAAATGTGGACACACTCCATTTATTTTCAGCCCAGTTAAAGTGTTTCTCCTGTCACCTCAGAGCATTAAGATGTCTAGATAACCCATCTGGAAGGGGCAAGAAAGAGATTAAGGACTTGCACCTTTCACATTTTTAGGGAGCAAGTGTTCATTGTCTGCTAGGTATACCCTCTGACGTTTAACTTAATCAGGAACTTTAAAATATATATATACACACACACAGAGACACACACAATTTCCTGAATCTCCTTTTCCCTGACTCTTACTTGGTCATACTTTTCGTATCAGTAATGACATCTTTCCTGCCCTCTCGTGCCAATACAACCAATAAACTTCCTTGAAATACATTGGAAGCATGTGATTTTTAGTAGACAAATGAGGTATCCCTTAGCTGAATACAGTATCAAGTAAAAAATTAAAAGCAAAAGGGATATTAAATATAAAATATAAACTATTAGTTAAAATAGTAACCCTAACAATAACTTAAGGTTTTACACACACTCAAACTCCCTGCCTTCCAAAGGCAGCAGCCTGTCATTACCAGGTGTTCACATTCCAGGTGCAGCTCCAAGAGTCAGTAAGTCAGCTTGGATGCTCTGCTGTTGTAGCACGGCCTCTCTGTCAGAGCAGCTGCAGCGTTTCGGAAAGGAGAGCTGTCACTTTTCATGAGAACTAACTCCAGCTCTTGGAAGTCCTGGAGTCTGGCAACATCCTTGTCCTTTTAAAGAACAGACAGAGTGACACATTACTCCTAAAAATAGGTGGTTGTTATTATTTATAAAATAGCTGAAGTAAAAACTAAAATTTCAGGGAGGTCACACCTGATGATAGGAATAAATAACAAGAAGGGAAAAAAAATCCTACCAGCATATCTTCTTTCTTTCAAAGAAGGCTTGTTTGGTTTTTCTCCTTAAAATGTACGTTTTCCTCTCGAATGCCATTATGATTTGGCAGTGTTTGCGTGTGTCACACGCCTGAGAGTTGTGATCAAGCTCATTTATGGACCTCCCGAACAGATATTTTTGGAACAGAAGAGCGTGTTCATTTGTTAACAGCATATCTTTAAATTATTCATATGCCAATTCGGGAGGTTTTTTCCACTTACTGTTTGTTCTTTTAGGCAAGCAGAGGCTGAGGAGTACACGGCAATTATGTTAAAAGCACCCTAATGCAGTGCTTCTGATACATTTTAAAAGTCTGTAATAGTTCCATGTGCTTTAGGAGTTGGACACTCTGGGATACTCTGCGCATTTTGACAAGAATATTTTTAAGGTATGAGATTTTAAGAAAATCCCAACATCCTTTTGCATTTGTGTGCTGAAGTTTCTGATTTTTAACAAAGGTGACATTTTACCAATCTTTTTAGAAAAATACCTTCTCTGGTGTCTGAAAAGTGCAAAGTCAAGTTAATCTGTGATTTCAATTCTTACCTTTCTTACTAATGTATTGGGGAGCTTTCTGATCTTCTCTACTTGTTCTGGATTAATGCCCAGTTCACAGCAGCTCACTCTGAGCAGATCTTGGTAGGTCAGTTCTTGTCTGTCCAGTTCAATCTCAATGAAGTCATTGTCTCTGAGGTTCTGGACTCTCACCTTAAGCACAAGTTCTGAGAGAAAGGATTAAAAGGTGTTTTTTTAAAAACAAACAACAAAAAAACACCACCACAAAGGGCAACCAACCCAAACCTAACACTTCAGTAATTTACCATTATCTTCTGGATTCAGGTTTTATAATACAATAACTG